TTTGTCTATATTGGAACCATGAATAAGTTAAGTTTTCATGTGTTAATTCTTCCAAAGATTTTAACTGCCAGTCTTGGCCATCCCATCTTAATAACTGTACGTAAGAGACCTTGTCCATATTTACCCCTTTCCTTATACCTTCTATGGCATGCCGAGGTATAGCCCATAATGGTATTTTGAAGTCACTTTTATAATACTTTCTCCACACTCTTAGCAAAGAGTTTCTTATAATATGAGACTTAAAAACCCAATCCACTTTTTTATTAAATATTAAATAGGCATGCCATCCAAAAAATAGGTCCCAGCCTTCCAAATGAAGTATTTCTGTATTTGTTAAATTCACCCAGTCGCTAATCAATGTCAATACTACAGCATCATAATACAATTTCATATTTGGTACCTTGAGTCCACCTCTCTCACGAAAATCTTGCATTATTTTAAGTTTCACCCTTGGTTTTTTCCCTGCCCAAACAAATTTATTAATACCTTTTTGCCATTCATCTAAATTACGTTCGTTCTTTAAGATAGGTAACATTTGGAACAAAAAAATAAACTTTGGCAGGACATTCATTTTAATAACTGCAATTCTGCCCATAAGGGATAACTGTAAATTATTCCAGTTTTTTAAATCCTTCTGTACCTCCATCCACAGCTTTTCATAATTATTTTTATACAATTTTACATTAGAAGCAGATAATGTAACCCCCAAATATTTTACCTTATCAACAATTTCAAAGTCTGTTAAGTTAACTAAAGCCTGTTTATCACCATTAGTCATATTTTTAGCTAATATTTTGGTCTTATTATTATTAATTTTAAAGCCAGAAACACGTCCATATTGTTGAATCAATTGTAATAATTTCACCACCGAAGAAACAGGTTGAGACAAAGTAACAACCAAGTCATCTGCAAAGGCTCTTAATTTATATTCTTTTTTATTAATTTCTATTCCTTTTATTTCTTGAGACTCCCGAATTTTAATCAACAAAATTTCCAGTGTTAAAACAAACAATAACGGAGACAACGGGCATCCCTGTCTTGTTCCTTTTTCTATTACAAAAGCCTCTGACAAACCCCCATTTACAATAATTTGAGCAGTCTGTTTTTGATATATATTGGATAATACTTGTAATATATTTTGTCCAAAATTCATCTCCTTCATTAAACACAGCATAAACTGCCAATTCACTTGATCAAAGGCTTTTTCAGCATCCAAAAATATCAGGCCTGCAGAGACTTGGTTATTCTTTTCTAAATACTCTAATAAATTAATAATTTGTCTAACGTTATTCTTCATATACCTTCCAGTTATAAAACCCGATTGATCCCTATGTATAAACTGCTGCAAGATCCCCATAAGCCTGTTAGCTAAAATTTTTGCAAAAATTTTATAATCCACATTTAAAAGAGATATAGGCCTATAATTTTTAGGCAAAGTAAGATCTTGACTATCTTTTGGAATCAATGATATAAATGCATTACGCCAGGATGGAGGGATCTCTAACCCCTGTAATAAATTATTAAACAGTTCACACAACGGTTGAGTCATCTCTTCTACTAAAGCTTTATAATAAATAGATGTCAACCCATCCGTACCCGGCGCTTTGCCCAATTTCAATTGTTTAATAGCTGTAACAATTTCTTCCTTAGTAATTAAACCGTTAATCTTTTTTTCCTGATCTTCTGTTAATTTAGGAAAGTTAACTTTGCCTAAATAATTATTTATATCTGTAATTTGAATATTAGTACCCTTATATAATTTTTGATAGTATTCTAAAAAAGATTTCTTAATCAATTCTTTCTGATAAACCAATTTACCATTATAATTTATTTTATCTATATTCCTCTGTTTCTGTTTTTTTCTTAACTGATAAGCCAACCATCTCCCTGGTTTATTAGCATTACAAAATGTATTTTGTTTCATAAATAACAAATTAGTTGCAGCTTGATCAGCCATCAGCATGTTAAATTGTGTTTTTAACAATTTTAAAGCTCCTTTAACCTTTTCATCTAAGGGATTTGAAATTAAAAGTTTCTCTTTTAATTTAATCTCCTCTTCTAAATCTTTCCGTTTCTGAGTCTGTTTCTGTCTATGCAAATTATTCATTTTTATCAAAATACCACGCATAAAAGCTTTACTTGCATCCCAGACCATTGACATTGATGTTCCCTTGTTCATATTTAAAGTAAAATATTCCTTTAAACATTCCTTTAATTTATGAACATTTTTTTCTTGTTTAAATAAATTCTCATTCACCCTCCAGGATCTCCTATCTTCCTTCTCTACAAACAGTTCCATCCAAACTGGACTATGATCGGACAATGTCCTAGGAAAAATTTTTACATTCTTCACCCTGTTGTATAAATCTGTTGTGATCAAAAAGAAATCAATTCTTGAGAAAGATTGGTGTCTATCTGAGAAAAACGTAAAATCCTTTTCTTCTTGATTACGTTCACGCCAATAGTCTCTCAATTCCCAATCTTCTTTCATATCAAAAAAGGCTTTAGGTAATTTAGCCTGTTTAAAAAAGGTAGAAGAGCCTTTTTTGTCCATTTGTATATCTAAGACACCATTCCAGTCTCCCATTAAAATCACAGATCTATAGTCCAACAAAGTTATTTTCTGATGTAGTAACCTATAAAATTGCTCCTGTTGCTGGTTTGGTGCATACAACCCCACAATAAGAATTTTCTTGCCATATAAACCAAGTTCAAGCATAACATATCTTCCGTAAGGGTCTGATTCTAACAAGGTAGCGGATAAATTCTGTTTAACATAGATTACCACACCCCCTTTCTTCCCAGGGGCGGGAGATACAAAATGAGATCCCAAGCGAGGATTATTTAAATATTTTTGATCTTTAGCTGTAATATGAGTTTCTTGCAAGCAAATAATATCATTGTTATGTTGTTTCAAATAGTGGTAAATTTTTTTTCTCTTTTGAGGAATGTTTAATCCATTAACATTCCAGGACAGGAGCTTTGCCATCTCCCTTGGCCTTCAGCCTGGAGAAGATCCGCTCAAATTCTGCTGCTGATGAATATGTAGCAGAGCTTTTGGGTCTTGCTCCTCCCACCGGCACTGAAGCAATTTGCTGAGTAGATTCTTCAATTTCTTTTTCTTTTTCTTTTTTCTGTTGTTCTTTTTCTTTACGTTTATGTGCTGCACGGGTCATTCTCTGTTCTTTAACCTCTGGTTGAGACATCCATACCACCTGTCCAGCAGTCATCATCCCTGTACCTTCAGATTTCTGTTCCATCTCTTTGTCACTCAAGACTTTATGCATCATGGGCAAAGGAGAGCCTGCTCCCAGGACCGTTTTATAAAATTCCTTAGCTTTAGCAACTGTATTAAGTCTATAACGTGTCCCCGCATGGCTCAAAACAATGCCCATCGGAATCTCCCATCTAAATGGCATTTGTCTTGCTTTAAGTTCATTTACTAAAAAAGCAAAATCTTTTCTGCTTCTTAAAATTTTAGGTGGAATTTCCTTTAAAATAATAATATCTTGGGCAGCAATCTGAAATCTTTTATTATAAAAAGTTTGTAGAATCTGATTTCGCAAAGACTTCTTAGCAAAATATATCACCACATCTCTAGGCAAATTCCTCTGTTTTGCAATCCAAGAATTAACTCTATAAATTCTTTCCACATCCCCACGTAACTCTTCTTTATCAATATTCAAAATAACAGCCAAGTCATTAATCACCATTTCCATCAAATCTTGAGTTTTATCTTCTTTCAGACCCCTTATTCTCAAAGCATATTCCATCTGTCTATACTGGAACATAAGAATATCATCTTGTGAAGTCTCCACTTTTTTCTCCATATCTTGAAATTTATAATCCAAAAGTTCAACTGTTTCTTCAATTTCCTCTACTCTGGAGTCCAGCTTCACAACCACTGAGGCCATTCCAGATAGAGCTAGAAGTATATCATCCCTCAAAATAGCATTATTCTGTTCTAAAAGCTCCTTCATCTCTTTCTTCATTTCCTCCTTAGTTTCAGATTTATTCTGGTCCAAAAGTTGTTTCATTTCCTCCCTAAACTGTGAGACAGCACTTACCATTATTTCTTTAATGTCTTGTGCTGATGTGCCAGATGGGGGAGGTGAAGGTGGAGTGGATTTAGGTTGCTGCACTGAGGGTATTATTTTAAGTTGTTGTTGCACAGTAGAAGGAGCAGGAGAAGAAGTTACTTTAGAAGCTGCAGTAGCTGGTTGTCGTTTTGAAGCCATTTTAATTTATCTTCCTTTCTTCTTAAAAATACCGATAAAAATAAGTAATCCAAAAAAAAATTAAAAATAAGATAAAATAGAATAAAATAAGATCAATCTAAAAGTCCCCAAGAATAAAAAAGTAAAAAAAGTAAAAAAAAAGCAGTATTAAACAGCAATTCAGCCGATCCGTCTTTTAAAGGAAAAAAAAACTTTCAAAACGCCATTTTACTTTCACTCTCACTTTTCCGCCCGAAAGAAAAGAGAAAGCTCAAAAAAATAAAAAAAATCAGCAGATACTAAATAAACTAAATAAACTAAAAAAAATAAAATGAAGCTAAACTATAAATAAAATCCTTTAAACAGTTCTGTCCGGTTTAAGATTACTCACGGTTTCTTTAAGTACGGAGATGGTAGCGGCGTCTCGCTTTGTTTCCGAAGAAACAAAGACAGCTGAGAGGCGGAGAAGGCAATGAACTCCGAGGGAACCCTCTTTCTACCCCCCTAAAAATAAAAATCCAGGGAGAGTTAAGAGGTTCTACCTCTATTCATGCGATCTCTACCCCTTCCCTTCGCCCGGGAAGGGGATTGCGAGCCGCGGGCCAGCTGGTAAACGCTGTGCTCCGCGGATCTGACACCTTCTCAGGAGGACGGCTACAGAGTAGCCGCCATCTCCACCGCTTTAACCACCGGAAGTCCCGTAATGGAATTTCTTTAAACCTACTTGAGGATTGTTCTATTTATATATGTAGTGCAAAGGATAGGATTCCCTAAATCACTTACATTTTTCGTTTCGTTAACTTCATTCCTTCCTTTTCCCACAATCTCATTATTGTAGACCATGAGGCAACCAACAGGTACTTCACCATTCTTAAGTGCATCTTTAGCCTATCAATACACACAAAGTAATTAGCAACAGCACTGTTAAAAGACGGATGTGGTATCATATTTATCATGGATTGCAAGTTCAGAAGCACAATGCATTCAGCTGCATTTACTCCATTAGAGGTAGTCTGGGAGCAGAAACTTGGTCAGCAAGTGACACAAGACACTAACTGGAAACTTATATGACTCTGACTATGCTTATGACTTAACTTCAGCTTTCCTTTTTTCCACTCCCCAGCCCTCTGGAATGCTCACCCAGGTTCAGGGATAATTAATAAGGGAATGGATGACTGACTGTATTTACATTCATTGTAGAGGAAAAAATTAAAAAAAAGTAAGCAGGCACACAATGGGAAAACACATCAAAAGGAACGCACTGGCAAACAGCCAGCACTAGTAAAATCCCTTTGATGTGTATTCTCCATTGTGTGCCTGTTTATTCTCCTATAATCCTTTCCTCTCCAATCTCTCTTCTCTGCAAGGAAGGAGGAAACAGTCACTTCATGAGACAGTCAGTAAACGAATGCAACTGTTTTCTCAGTACAATAACAATACTATACAACAATGAGAAACCAACATTTCTGATCAAATGGATCACATACATAGCAAAATAAAGGACATATGTGCTGGCATATGGCATATTTCTTTCTCAAAAGAAAAGCAAACTGAAATTAGTACACAGCAAGAAAACCATGCATAGCTGTGATTTATTGGCTGAGCTGTACCTGAATCAATAGCTTACTCTGGTTCAATTACATTTTCATTTACAATGCTTTTGTTTAATTAGATAAAGCAACTGCTACTCATGTAATATGGCATAATTTGTTTGGTCTAGTGGTTAAGGTACCAGGCTAGAAACTGGGAGATTATGAGTTCTAGTCCCACCTTAGCCCTGAAAACCAACTATGTGATTTTGGGCCAGTCACTCTTTCTCAGCCCAACCCACCTCTCAGGTTTATTGTTGTGGGGAAAATATGAGGAGGAAGGTGTGTTGGATATGTTCACCACCTGAGTTATTTATAAAAATAATAAAGGTGGGATAAAAATAAAATACTGTAATAGATGGCAAAAGTAGACATATGGATAAATGTTCTCAGGAAAGATAAATAGTTCCTTCTTCCAGAACAGAGCCTGTTTGACAGACTACTGAAGTTGAGGTTCAATTGCTGAGGTTAAAAACGCTGTCTTTGGGCAACACATATTAATAAGGAACTGAGGGCTGGTATCTTAAATGAAATTTGGAAGCAGGATCACCTTTCTAAGGTAGAATCCTATTCATCACATGAATATATTCTAACTCATGTTGTCAGTCTGGAAGTTTAGGCTTCATTTTAGCATAGCAATCAGGCCTCCTGTTGAAATACAGGAAACCATGTTTTCCTTTTAGCCAAAACCATGTCTTTTTTTCACTTGCAAAACCTAGCCTTTGGTAACTAAACAATAGGAGAGGGTATTCTGGAAGTTCTTGAATACACTTGTAAGTTTTAAAAAAAGATGGAAACCTGACTGGGAAAGAAAGTGATGTAATCCATAAATTTGTCACTTGTTGAATGAAAACCTAGAATTAAGATTTTTCTATTGTTCAATTCTCACATATAATCAATGTCTGATCACTTGCTTTTTGACATATCACAAATACTGAATGCATCATTTGTTTCTGTAGCTCTCCCCCCGCCGCCCCCTAATAAATGCTTTTTGTTTTCCCTGAATTACTTGGCGATTCATATTTTTGAGTGGAAAAAGAAGCCTCAAATTCAGGGATCCAATTCTTATCAGCTCCCTGCCAAACCCTGGGTGCCTGAGTTTCTAGGCAACAATGTCTGCCATTAGCTTTTCCTTATTAGCTATGAGAATTGGAACTGCAACCACAAATAATTCTTCAGGTCAGATTCCTGCAGTTCTGTCTAGAACAGCGGTTCTCAACCTATGGGTCGCGACCCCATTTGGGGTCAAATGACCATTTTACGGGGGTCGCCAAACAACGCGATCCGCCGTTTTCCCCCTCAGGAGGCGGTCCCGCACATGCGCCCCGCGCATGGGGCGGCCCCCACGCATGCGCAGTGCGCATGCGCGGCGCGTCCATGTGACGGGGGTCGCCGTCACACAAAGGTTGAGAACCGCTGGTCTAGAAGATACTGGAAAAATTAGTTATATAAATTCAATAATATTCAACAGATGAGGGGTCTTCAGTGCTCTCTGAGCTTTGTTGTTTCTTGCAGACCTTTCATTCCTCAAACTAGATAACATCATCAGTACTAGTCACGATGATGATGATGATGATAATAATAATAATAATAAAGTTGGAAGGGACCTTGGAGGTCATCAAGTCCAACCCACTGCTCAGGCAGGTAACCCTATACCATTTTGGACAAATGGCTGTCCAGTCTCTTCTTAAAAACTTCCAGTGTTGGAGCATTCACTGCTTCTGGAGGCAGGTTGCTTCACTGGTTAATTGTTCTAACTGTCAGGAAGTTTCTCCTTAGTTCTAGGTTGCTTCTCTCCTTGATTAGTTTCCATCCATTGCTTCTTGTCCTGCCTCCAGGCGCTTTGGAGAATAGCTTGACTCCCTCTTCTCTGTGACAGCTCCTGAGATATTGGAACATTGCTATCGTGTCCCCCATCGTCCTTCTCTTCATTAAACTAGACATACCCAATTCCATCAACCTTTCCTTATATGTTTTAACCTCCAGTCCCCTAATCATCTTTGTTGCTCTTCTCTATTCTCTTTCTAGAGTCTCAACATCTTTTTTACATTTTGGTGACCAAACTGGATGCAGTATTCCATGTGTGGCCTTACCAAGACATTGTAAAGTGGTATTAATACTTTGCGTGATCTTGTTTCTATCCCTCTGTTAATGCAGCCTAGCACTGTGTTGGCTTTTTTGGCAGCTGCAGCACACTGCTGGCTCATATTTAAATGATTGTCCACTAGGACTCTGAGATCCCTCTCACAGTTACTACTATTGAGAAAGGTACCTCCTACACTATACCTATACATTTGGTTTTTCTTGCCTAAATGTAGAACCTTACTTTTATCACCATTGATTTTCATTTTGTTAGAGTGTTCAAGTCTGTCCAGATCCTCCTGTATCCTAAGTCTATCTTCTGGAGTGTTGGCTATTCCTGCCAACTTGGTGTCGTCTGCAAATTTGATGAGTTCCCTATCTATCCCCTCGTCCATGATGATGTTACCTAGTTTGGTTAATGATCATCTAGCACTGATGTTACCTAGTTTAGGTAATGAAAAATGTCTGCAAGAATATAACCAAGCTCAGAAAGCACCAAGGACCCCTCATTTCAAAAACCCTAGAACCCTTATTTAAGATGATAAAAAGCCACTACTTAATCCGAAGAGGCACCCGACCGAGTGAGATGGACGGTACAAAAGATAACTCTCAAATAATTCACACGTGGATGTCGTCCAATAAATGCGTCAGTCTTTTTTTCAGTATCTCCCAGCTCCGAAAAGCTCGCAACCCCGAAAATTGTTTGTTTTCTTTCTTTTTGCTTGCAATACGACCCCCCTGCTACACCCCCTTTGGTTACTTCTTTGCGAGTGAGCCCTCACCATATGTACAGCTCTGTCCATCCAGGCCTCAGTTTCCCCCGCGCTCACCCGCCACTTCTTCGCCGCTTCCATCTCTGGAAGGAAAGCGTCGCTTACGGAACGAAAAGAAAAGAGCGAACAGTCCGAGGGAGAAAGATGAAGGGCGAACCGCGGCCAGCTGGGGGACTCGAATGCGGGGAGGACGTGGGCTGAAACGAAGCCGGCGTCGGAGACGAGGGGTAGGGCTTCCTGCGGCGCGCCGGGGACGGGTGGGCGGAGCGGCGGTTCGTCTGAGAATCCTCCTCTGCCGCCGCCGCGATGCTGCCGGCCGTGTGGGGCTTCCTGAAGCGTCACAAAAAGAAATGCTTTTTCCTCGGCGCTTTCCTGGGCGGTGAGTTTCCCACCGGGCATTTTCCGGGCCTTCGCTTGCTGTGCTTTGCTGTCCCGAAACAGATGTTAACAAGCAGCCCTACCTGCGCTCTTGCTGCTGCCCCCTTTCGGCCCCAGCCATGCCCAGAGCGAGAGGCGTCCGCCCCCTGAAATCTGCAGGACATTTCCTTAAGTTTTGCTTCGTTTACCCTGTAATAAGTCCACTATGCTGAATGGGCTTGCTCACAAGGAAGGGGGCATGAGAATGCCGCCTTACTTCTGATATCCAATTTTCTTCTTAGTTCTGTATGCTCACATATTATTGGCTAAAATCTCATCATCTTGCACGAGAGGTCGATATGAGGAAGAGTGAAGACCTCAAACTGACCACATTTCCCTCCTTTACAGACTGTTTTGCTCCTTTTTGTACATATGCTGATATTTCTGCCTTTTAAAATCGTTATACTATGGTGAATTTATTTTATAGCATTTGTTACAACAAACGAAGTTAAAATTAACTTAAGTAATAACGAACAGGAGGAAAGAAGATTCAAGCATATGCTTACTTGAGCTCCTATTTGTCACATCAGCTTAAACCATTTTTCTCTTTAGAGTTATAAACCAAGCAAGTTTAGCTATAATTCCAAGAGCATTATCTTAGCAGAAGAGGAAAAAATAACTTCCTGTTGATCATTTTGACAGATATATTTTTTTCTGGGGCCTTATACAAATAGGACAATGAAGTAAAGAATGAGCTACAGTCACATTTGTTGGACCTGGATGAAGGTGTGGATTAAAGGCAATGCTTCAAAATCTGTCTTGAAGCACTGTTAATGGTATTATTTGATCCCAAATCATTTTTGGCTAGATGGAATCAAGCGTCACAACTTGAGCCATTAATTAAAGTTGTTTAGATGTGTTACTGTTGGTATTGAACAACCAATGGCTGTTTTGGCTTAGGCAGAAATGGAAACTGATACATAGTACATCTGGAGAGTGCTTGTTTAAGGAATACTTAGTTAAGAATTTATCTTGCCTGAAAAGTTCCCCCAATGGAGATGTAGATCCTACTGATGAAAGAGGTTCAGGTTCAGACAGATTCTTTAATTAGTTCATATGTTCTGGATCAACCTCCCTCTTCATTCACAATTGCATGAACAGACTTGTACAATACTTTCCTGTTCCAAGTGCATCTTGTCACACACTTGAGAAAGTATACTCTTTTTTCTAAGTACGGAAGCTTCACTCCATGGTATTGCCAAGTGCAGTTGTTCCTTTAATGCTTCTCTGGACTTATATTATTCTTAGGCTGATCAATCAGATCCCAAATTATTAGTAACTTGGTATTTCAGTGTGATAGTGTGATACGTATGTGTGTATGTCTTTTGTAGGGGTTTATGTACTTGGAAAATATGGTCAGAAAAAAATGAAAGAAATTCAAGAAAGAGAAGCAGCAGAATATATAGCACAAGCAAGAAGGCAGTATCATTTTGAAAGTAATCAGAGGACTTGCAATATGACAGGTAAAGTGATATTGTAGCTATTTTGCTTGTCAAAGATACCAAAGTCTGAAGCTCACTGTCAAATTCCATTTTTTTTTCAGTACTTGTTTTAACATCTAACTCCTGTTTCCTTAATGAAACAATTGCTACAGACAAAATAATACTTAGAACAATATTTGCTAATATGGGCAGCTCATCAAAATATAACTAACATAAATACAAACAAATTTGTAAGCTGTATTTTCCATTTCTAAATTGTTAATTGACCATAAATCATAATTCAGCATTTTATCATGCAAACATGATTAGCCTTAACTGTAGTTTGGTACTATGTGTGAACTAAATTGGTATGGTTAATCATGCCAATATGGACAAGTTAGCATAATAAATAGGATTCAGAGAGTCATATGTCTAGTTCTGCATTTTCAGGAGGGCTGTGTGTGTTTTTTACCAGTAATGTATAACCTCACATAGCAGATTCCTTTTGAAACTGATGGGCTGTCAGTGATCCTTATATTTATTGTTTTCTAAAGGCTATTTTAAATAAACCTTAAATATTTCTACCAATGTTAGAATTATGTTAAAGAGATCTTTACATCAGTTCTACAGTAACATCCTCACTGTTACACTTAAGTTATTGTTTTTACTTTGTTGATGATGCTCCATGCCTTCTAATAATTCTTCCTATCATCTGCTTTTTAGTACTATCAATGCTTCCAACATTAAGAGACACTTTGATGTATCAGCTGAATTCTGAGAGTCTCACTTCCCTGCTGAAAAACAAGTAAGCATAAATTGTCAAGAGATTATTATACTTTGTTCTGAATACCGTCCTTTAGGTTTTGGTAGTGTGTGTGTACATAATGTTAGCATGGACAAACTATTTGTTTTCTGTAACAAAACACTCTGTTAAAGTGTTTTCTTGCCAAAGTCATGTAAGATTTAAATAGCTTAACATGTAGCATATTAATTGACTTTAGAGGAGGAAAACTTTGCCATTAAGGGGTCTGAATCCCTTTAATGCTGTTGTTTTATGCATGAAACTCATAGATAATTCTGCATTCTGGCTAAATTATTTTTTTTTTTTAACATGACTTCTAAAACAGGGCTTTTCAACCACTGCTATGGGTACCACCTATGGTACATTGGCACCTGGCAGGTGGTACACGGCCATCCTATAAAAGTAGTAGCGGGGGAGGGGAATGAGCTGAACCGGTGGCAGCACTGCACAAGCCTGAGCGAGAGAGGGCTGGACCTGCAGGGCTGTCAGGGCTCAGCGGAAGCGCCAGGATCAGTGCCGCTTTCCAGCTAGTCGGCGTTTCTTCGGGGCTCTCAGGGCTCAGTGGAAGCACCAGGATCAGCGCAAGGCTCCAGCTGGAGCTCGGCACTGATCCTGGTGCTTCTGCTGACCCCTGAAGAAGCACCCATCAGCTGGAAAGCGGCACTGACCCTGGTGCTTCTGCTGAGCCCAGAAGACGCGCCGATCAGCTGGAATGTTGCAGCATCTCCAGGGTCTTGTGATTTACATTAAGATGCTTGGCAACTGACTCATATTTATGATGGTCACAATGTCCCAGGTCATGTGAAGTGACCAAAACCTGCTGCAACCACCCAGCAGAGGGGGGAATAAAAACCAAACACTCCCACCCTACCCCTGCTGCCAATCCTCAACAGAAATGCTCACAATAATGAAAACCTTGGACAGGAGGAAGAGTGCCGCCGGGCAGGCAGGCAGGTGTCTTGCTCGGCTGTGGCTTGGGGGGCACTTTTTTCAGTGCCATTGTAACTTCAAACAGTCACTAAGCGAACTGTTGTAAGTTGAGGACTACCTGTACTTTATCACTTTTTTCCTTTTTGGGGGGGTCATCAAGTTTTTGACACCTTGCTAAGCGACTGGTGGTAAAAGTGGTACAATGGGTGAAAAGGTTGAAAAGCCCTGTTCTAAAATATTTATTACCAAGGCAACCTAGGGCTACACATTTGTAATTTTTTCAGCATCACAAATACACATTTGTTCCAGTGCTATATGAGCAGTCATGCTTATGCAGTTGAACTTCCTATTCCTTTCCAATGTGCGCAGAAGAATGGGTAGGATTAAGGATCCATTCTGTTGATGGAATAGTGTCTCTCAACTGAATGGCATCACTGCATAAGTTTCTGTGCTTTGCAAGCATTCTCCTTATTACAGTATTACTTTCCAAAATCCCAGCATTTATTTTCTCCCTCATATTTTTATGTTTGGCTTTTTTTGTTTGATGTGGATTGAAATGGAGCTCTTCAATTAATTATAAATGTGTCTATTCTATTCTTTCTGTAGGCCAGCCAATAAGTTAGAAATATGGGAAGAATTGAAGATTATAAGTAAGTCAAATGAGTCATTGTGCTTGTGATCCATTGAGCCTCTTTAGGTATACACAGAATGAAACTTTTCTTTCTTCAGTATTAAGCTTCTTGGCTACTGTGCTTCAAGCACTATCCTAATGAACATTATGATTTGTCATGAAGAAAGCGTATTTATTCAAAAATAAGCCTTACTATTTGTTAAGTGGAATTCTGTTGAATTAATTTTGAATTCTTATAGTGACCATAGTTATCTCTCCTAGATAAGTGGTTTCTGCCCTTAGATGTGTAGTTATTTTCCACCTTATTTTATTTTCTCTAATTTTAAACCTTCTCTTCGTAACAGTGTGTATAAAAAAAAGCCTCTCTCACTACCTCAGCGTTTACTACATAGCACCATTCAAAATTAAGTAGGAATCTCAGTTCACCAGAACTAACACAATTGGAATTTTAATTGTGTATCCTTCAAAATCTTCACACTATTGCCAAGAGCATTTGGGATGGTAGTTTGGCTCAATAGAAAATAGTTCTTTCCAAAGACTTGGAATAGGCAGATGTCGTTTGGTGTTAGAGGTATCATCACAAGATGTAAGCTCTTTCAAGTAAAGCTGCCTTTTGCAATTGACTGATGGTAATTTCATCAATGCTGATGGTGCTTGAGTGGTGCCCCAGACGTTTGGGGATTGCACCTAAGGTGCCTATTACTATTGGTACTATCTTTGCTTTCTTTTGTCAGTCATTCTACTTTGTATTTGCCTGTGTTTGTATTTTGTGATTTTCTCCAGTTCTTTCTCCTTCTGTTCTGTGATCTCCAGGTACTGCAACATCCAGACTTTTTGTCTTTCATATCAACAGTTTTAATTCTGGGATGTTATGTATTATTATTATTATTATTTAATATAGCTGCCTGCTCCTGGATACTCTTGCTATGTCTTTGTCTTGTGCTTTCATGAAAATCTGCTTAGCTCAAGTGACTTCATTACCATCACCGGGATGTGGCAAGAACTTGAACTCCAGCTGCTACACCCTCTGTGTATCATGTTAGAAGATGTGACCAACCTTGGTGTTGTTTTGTCCTCACTATGGTTCTAGTGGCCGTAATGCCTTTCATTCAAAACTACTGGAAGAAGAGCTTACTAGTGACTTACTCTTTCTTTGCGCTAGGCATGTGGGGGCTTTTTTTGCTTGACCTTTGCCTTCAGCAAGATTTTTCAAAATGTGCTTTACAATGCTTCCTCTTTGGTGTCAGCTTCGCTGCCTGTGTCTCCTGCCTGGCCAAACGTATCTTCAGTCTCAATAAGTCATCAGATTCAGTTATTATTTCACATCGAAAATCTCTTTCCTTTAACTTGTACTGTACATCTGATTGTGATGTTTAAAAGTAAATTTTGTTCCATCAGCTACTATCCAATAGAAGCAATTTTATCAGGACTCTCCTTAACACACGTACATGATAATTATGTTTACCTTAGTTCAAAAGGATGTATTGCAAGAGTAAAAACACAGTTAATGATTGTCATAGTTATTTAGAATGTGCCATAATAGTGAGAAAAGTGTTTACATAGAATAATCTAAAAATCCTGAAATTTTCCCTTTTGCAATCCTTTTGGTAATTGAAGATTCTTTTTTTCCTCCATTTTTTTTGCATTTTAATAAAATCTTTTTTTAAGCCCTTTGCATCAGTAAAGCCATGGATATACAGTAATAGCTTTTATTTAGCTAAATCTAGTACTTTGATTAGCTTGAGCTTTGAATTATGCTGTCCTTTTAATGAGGTTTTTAGAAAAATAAAATGGAGATTTGCCCTCCAAAATAATTTCTAGAAGTATAGACCTGATTTAAGTCTCCACAAAGCAGCTACTATTTCATTTTATTGATGAAATATGTTCTTTTTAAAGATGTTCAGTATTTTATGGTAAATTTTTGTTTTATTAAAGGTTTTACGAGGAGTATTGTAGCAGTATACAGCACATGCATGCTCGTAGTTCTTCTCCGAGTCCAATTAAATATTATTGGTGGATACATTTACTTAGACAATGCAGCAGTTTGCAAAAATGGCACTGTAAGTAGATTGTTTTCAAATAGATAAATATCTGGGTTGAAAACTCAGAAAGGAAAACATATTTTGAATACTCCAGTATACTTTTATGCTTGCTTAAATCTCATTGAAACAGATCTCATGGTGAAAATATTTATGATTACTGAATTGAAAATAGGTAAGATGGTGCTCTAATTTTCCAAAATGGAATGATGACTAAAAAGTATGGGATATTGATCTTATGATACCTTCAAAAGACTATATTGTAGCCTGGCACCAATCACCCTTCTTTATAACTGTGAACTGCTCTTAAACAGTTTTTCAGGAGGGCTGCCGAAGATGTGCTTGTGACTTCAATTTTCAGCTCTTTTTCCTCATTTGGACAGGAGAGGGGAATGAAGGTTTCTTGTAAAGTAAAAGAAGCCTATTAGACGTTGGGCTTTGAGACATTATAGACCTCTCCCAGTTGCCTGGACAACATTTTGAGAAGTGGTTTGCCATTGTCTTCTTCCTAGGGCTGAGAGAGACTGGCTGGCCCAGTCATTCAGCTGCTTTATGCAGGACTGGAATTTGCCATCTGATTTTAGCCTGCTGCCTTAAACCATTCCACTAGACAGGTTCTCACTGGAGGTTTAATATACCAATTTTACTTGTAAAAATTGCCACTGCTCTTTGTTACCAAATTCTGGCAGCATAATGTTCAGGAGTTCAGTGGCTACAAGAACTTCAGGAAGGCTATGGATTGCCTGTCTTTGCTCTAGCTGTGCTTCCAAGATAACTTTCATTTATCATTGCAAGAATGTACCTTTTATCCGGGGGGGGGGGAAGGGAGAGAGACAAATTGTTCTGTTTTACTGTAAAAGGTGACAGAGTCCTTTAAGAAGTAGAATATCTTAGGAATTTTAGCAGCTACTGAAGAGGTAAATGAAGGAGAAGTCTGTTCTGATTTGCTGCAAGATATTCAGGACAGATAGTCTGTATCATTTCTGCTACCAAAGGAACACTGTCTTTCTTCTTGCAGACACTTTTAGCTCCCCCAGAAGTTCAACAACAATATTTATCAAGTATTCAACATCTCCTGGGAGATGGTAAGTTATCCATAAAATTGTTTTATCTAAAATTATATTATGAAGTTTGAACAAGTAGGAATTTCTCTTCAATTACTCTTTCTCTTCTGCCATAGGTTTGACCGAATTAATAAGCGTGGTTAAGAAGACTGTGCAGAATGTATTTGAGAGGTATAATAGGGTCCTTTAAAAATCTAAAATACTTGGTTTGAATGCACTCTATTGATGTTTAACTCTTCTCATTGCAGTGTTTCTCTCAAGCATGCCCTTTCCCTCTTGGATCTGGAGCAGAAGCTAAGAGAGATTAGAAAGGTAATTGAACAGCCTGAAGATTCTGCATCTGAAGAAGCTGTATCACGATCCCAGTTATGTCATTACATGATGCCGGATGAAGAGAATCCTTTAGCTTTCCAGGTATTTGAATAGTATTAAGAGCGGGGAATCAGTCTGACTCTGAACTACAATTGGGGGTTGATTCTGTATATTTTTCGTAGAATTGGAACTTATCTTGAATCTAACATCTTTTATTTGGCTTCAGCTTTTCCAAATTAGGAAGGAGGAGAACATTCTGGTGTGTGATGGTTTGCCAATGATTTCCTCATTTGTCACAAACAATGTCATTGGCAACATAACATATAGACAGTAAACTCTACTCCGGTGCAGCTCTTGAGTAGGATCACAATAGTCATGGTTGAATTCAGGGCAGATATCAGTTATATGAATTGTGAAAACATTCAAGTTGCCTTTATTCTCTGTCTTTCTAGGCTAATGAACTTACAGAAAAAGATGTTGCTACCATTAAGTTACTTAATGAAACAAGAGATATGTTAGAAAGGTAGGTAGCCAAAGTTTGAGGACTTGAATCTCTGTTAATGCTCAACATCTTATGACACTTAAACAAGAAAAAAATGGAAATGTGAATAAACTGAAATTTGGATATCTTCAACATTTAAGATGTTAGTGGCTTTTATAATATTTTCTATAACCCTTTACAAATGAAAGATCCATTTATACAAATAACAGACAATAATTCTAAGGCTTCAAGTGATAAATCCAATAGCCTTGTGCCTTACATCCTCTTCATGCCCTCAGATACTTTAATTTCCACTTTTGTATTGAGTAAATCAGTGTCATCATGAACAGGGGGTATGGATGGAGATCCGATTGACATCGGGAGCATTGCAGACCTTTTTAAATTAATTGCAATATTGCATTCATGATCCAAAATGAAAATTCCTGTGGATTATTATTATTGTAATCAAATGGCCTACAATTTGAGTACTGAAACAACTTGTTTATTATATTCTGAGTGACAAGCAAACTGATTCATAAAACTGAGGAGAAATGTATATCATTGTTGGAAGCTTTGACATGAACAGATTTTAAAAATTGCCTTAACTGGCATTTTGTGCTGATAAGATAGGAAGTGGATGTTTCTATATGAGTTTAATGACAACTATCATTTTGAACTATGGTGTTGAGTTTGTTTCCTTTGTATGTGTTGCGGAATTGAAGGTGGAATTAACTTCTGTCCTCCAGTATGTAAGATCTATAATTCCCTAGAACATGTACAGCCTATGTTGCATAGCCTATGACCCATCAGGTTTTGTGAACTGCAATTGAATAGTTCATTATTTGTACATAAAAAGACAGCATAATACAACTATAGTTTTGTGAATATTTTCTTCATTCCAGCCCAGATTTTAATAGAGTTTTGAGCAGTTGCTTAAATAGAGGATTTAGTCGATTACTGGATAACATGGCAGAATTCTTCAGACCTACTGAACTGGACATATGCCATACTGGCTCTATGAACAGGTAAAACTGGTTTTAATATTACAAATGCTCCCAGTTCTTATTAGAGAATAGTTATATCTTTTTTTTTCTATCCACTAAAAGTGGAATGGCATATTTCACAATGGTATTTCGAGCAAAACACCCCGCAAATCCTCTCAAAGAATCAGAAAAACTTATTTAAAGTAGATGCATGGAAGACATCCATCATGTCAGCTTCCACTATAGTTCTAATTAAAGTGTTTTCATTGTTAAGTATGTGCAGAGTAGGGAAGAGGCCATAGAGTGGCTGTCCAAACCTTTGAGCAAAAGTGCCTACTTCAAACTGAATTATCCCATTACATGGTTTACAATCCTTATTAGCTAGAGTATTTTCTAGTTACTGCCTCTCATTTTGTTTTTATCGCTAGCTGTCAATTTAGGTAAAACATGGAAAAATCAACAACTTTTTTTTCTGTTCCAGTCTAGGAAGAGCTACACATAAATGGCTGCTCCTGCTTGTTTCCATTGCCAAAAATCTTTGAGCAGGGCTGTGTTAAAATGGAAAGTTATATTACTGTCTTTTTTTTATTTGAACATTTTAGTAGAATTTGCTTCTGATAATTCTTGAATTGGGATACTGCAGTCAACTAATATGCTTGGCAGCCAACAAAAAACTGTGATGTGAATACTCAGCTCACACAGAGATTGAGCCTGTAAATGGAAGAGTTGGGAAGCCATTCATTTGTATCCCACCTGCTTATCACTGTTGCATTGTATAGGGACAGTTTGTATTGCATACGTTCATGATGTAGATATTCAATATTTATAGACTTAATGGTGGCTGTGATATCAGTATATTGCAAAAGTAATTAAGCAGACAGACTTCTGTATTTTCTTCCTATCCTAGTCTTTCCAGTGCCAGTCTTCCTCTAGCCAAGATAATTCCAATAATAAATGGGCAGATCCATTCAGTCTGCAGCGAAACACCTAGCCATTTTGTTCAGGTAAGAAAACCACTTTGCCTGTCTTAAAATGAAATTCTATTCAAACCTTGAAAATAAGTCTGACTTAGTTTGATAGGATTTATTCTTAGGTAAGTGTGTTTAGCCCTGAAGCTTTAGTCTATTTTAAAATTATATATCATCCTTGCTGAATCTAAATTCCAATGAGTTTTAAAATGAAATTAAAATAACAGGAAATAACAAATCATGAGCAGATTAAGATATTCATCATTAAGGTGGGATATTTTTTCAGCCTATTCTTTATTCTCATGACTAGACAGTAATAAAGGAGGAAACCTTAAATCTTTTTGAAACAGAAAAAAAGGCTTTAGGCTTCCTTTATATTCCTACGCCTTCTCAAATCTTTTACATCTCTTCTATTTCATATGTTTTAATTTTGACTTTGCGCTGCTTTAGTGTAGATATGCTAATACTGCAAAGATTCAATTTCAATTCTTAATATGGTACAAATGGTACACCATGATAAAACAGAGCAAATATCAAACATCTGAATATTCTTTTTAGGACTTATTAATGATGGAACAAGTGAAAGACTTTGCTGCTAATGTATATGAAGCCTTCAGTACTCCACAACAACTAGAGAAGTAAACTAGAGAAGTAAACTGCTGTTCAATATGTACAGAATATACTATTTAGTATCCAATTATTGTGACTTTTCATTTTGATAATGAAACTCTTAACAGAGTGATATAGAATGACTGTCCTTGTAAATCAAACACATTTTAAAAAGTTCATTTCCAAATTTTTATAATGGAATTCCTACAGCTGACTAAAGTAATTATTAATATAAAAAAATCTTTGTGCTGTAAGCCTTTGCATTGAGGCAGTCAATTTTAAATAACTTGTTTACAAAAAAAAAAAAACAGTGCAATGAGCACTGTGTCAACAGAAAGCTTCTGAAGATTAATGGCAGTCTTTACAATTGTGCGGACTACCACAGCAACCGTATGATGGGAAAACCAAGTCCAGTCGATTTTCAGGCTGGAGTAATAAAGTCTTTCTGCAGTCCCTCTCCTATTCAGCGACTTATCAGTTGTATCAGAAACACAACATGACAGCGGGCAGATGGAACAAAAATAACCCAGTTATTAAACCTAGTTCTGGTATATCTGACACCATTTTCCCCCATTGGTAAATGAGAATGGGTTTTAGTTGAAGTTTCTCTTGGCACAAAACCACCATACAATTCTCACTCTACAACTGAATAAGAGGGACTTTGATCAAAAGATCATCATGCTCCTATTATATTTCTGGTGGTGGATGAGTAATTATGCTTTTCTCTTTTTTAACCACCAAATGTTTTTCTTAAGCTGACTTGGGGGAGCAGATAAGCAACCCAGCAGTGGGCTAGATGGCTTTCAAAGTTTTAGGTTCTTCAGACTGGGACTACAGACTTCTATATGCTAAGGGTCTGCTGGGGTCTGAAAAGTTGAGCTTGCTGTATGAGTTTGGAATGGAAATGCATTGTTTCTAGCAAAAATTATGTTTACAATGTTTATAAATGGCTATTGCTGTATACATTCATTTTGTAAATATTTTTAATTTGTATTTACTTGGATCACTACAAAATATCTGAATCACAATAAACTATTTTGGCAGATTACATACTGTCCTGGTCAATATTGTTTATGGGATTAGGAATTTATTGTTTAGAGTTTATCCCCAGTTCTTTGAACGTCAAGTGAAAACATCAGATAGTTGCAAAGCTGCAGTTTAATCAGTTAATACAAATAATAAAATATCTAATGTAACAATACAAGGTAACAGTAGCTAAATCTCAAACGTGAATTTATCCCTTTTGAAGTTGTCTTAGACAATTTCACTAGTGATGCTCTGCACAGAAATATATTATAAACATTAAAATTAAAAACTTATTTTCAATGGCAATAACCTATGTATTTTAAGGTAGGAACTAGACCTCTTGGAAATAGAGTGCATATAGAAAATCTATACAGCCCTATTGAAATGCCAAGTTTTTGGAAAAAAAAAATCAGACCAAGATAATTTACTTCAGAATTTTTTCCAATTTTCATAGAAACATAAACCGTACAATTGAATTGAAAAACTGAAATCTTTCAGGAGGAAAAAGCAATAAAAAACAATAACATGGTTGCATAAGTGTGCACACCTTTAAACTAATACTTTGTTGAAGCAGCATGGCTTTTGCTGTAAGAGGCAACTGAGTAAATGTCAAAAATCCTACTAGAACAGTTGAAAATGGGCCTGATTAGTCACTGTGTACTACTATTTAACCACAGTTTGAATGTGATTAGTTAATTCTGAACATAGCCGCATCTCTGCTTATAAGAGGGCGTGCACCCTTATGCAACCATGTTATTATAAGATTTTTATTCCCCCCCCCCCCCGGAAAAATTTCAGTCTGCTTTTTAATTGAATTGTATAGCTTATGTGTTATATTAAAGGTGGAAAAAATTCTGAAGTAATTTATCTTGGTCTGATTTCTTTACATCGTAAACACCTGGCATTTTAACAGGGCTGTCTTTAACAGGAATTTATATTATTAAATTTATTTGCCACTCATCTCCTATCTGACAATTGCAATATAAAAACATTTAAAAAACATTAAAATAATCAACTATAAAATAACACAACAGATATAACTACTAACACAAGATGGCAAAGGAGAGGGCCAGATGCATGAAAAGAGGTGGGATTAGGTTTTAATTAGTCAACCACATCCAGTGTGAAGCTTCCCCATTGGGTCTCCATGCCACCTGGCAGAGTCTTAAGGCTCTAAGTCAGGAGGGTGGAAGCCAATCTCACCTCAGGGAGTAGGATATTCAGAGGGCAGGAGCCATGGCTTTGGCTGATGGGATCCGTAGTATACCCTGTAGTATACCCCCTCTGCTGGCGTGGGTGAGGTGGGCCAGTCCCATCAGGCTGGTCCAAGTAGCCTGCACTCATCCCATGAGGGCTTTAAACATATATACTATAACTTTTTAAATTGTTTGTTATCTAATACCTTTAAGAACAAATACAGAACACTAGATCACTTTTATCTCCTGAAAACTAGGATCTAAATGCCAGTAGAAAATTTTCTAACCTCTTTGGAATCCTATGAGGTAGTCAAAATAGTTCACAATAAAAGCGTATTGTTGGGGGAAAGATTAAAGCCCCAATTTTAAAACAATTCTGAAACTCCCTTCCCTGAATTCTGTTTCACAAAAGCAAGGTTGTATTAACAGCTATATTTAACATCATAAACTTCAACACTTCTGTTACATCTATCATTTCAATACCTCAGCATTCAATGAAGAATACCAATTTACTTTATTTATCCTATTCAGTTTTTGTGATTGCTATATGCATCCTTCCATCAACTTTGCTTTAAAAGTATTAAGTGCATGAATTATTTTATATTTTAAATCTATCCTTATTTCTCCAGTTACCAAAATTCAGCAGAGCAAGATTCTGTCACTATTGTGCATTAGTAACTTCTAGAGTCCAGGCCCACTGATAGGGAAATGTATTGAAAGATAACAGAGGTGCAGCCACCATCATTCCTTTTTCTCCCATCGAAACCCAGGGCAACGATTCTTCATATCCTATTAGCCTCACCTGAAATTTTAAAAAGCTATTATAAATGGGAGGAAAGTAGGAAACAAGCTTTTCAGATGAAAAATGGATTCAGGTGTCATAAGAAGAAATAATTAGCTGCTCTCATGGATTACACAAAGTACAATTTAAACTAGAAATATCTTCATTGGTATTCAACCCTGTGGTCTGCAACTATTATTTTTTTTTGCTGGAAATCCGTTCAAATTCCCACACCATTCGAAGGGTGTTCATCACAAAGTAGATAGCTAATATATATGAAGATTTTCAGTCAACCAGGTCATGGTTGTCCCAAAGATGCTTTCTTTCAAAAGACAACTGAACATTCTTGCTTTGCTTGAAGAAGCTTCTTCAGTTCTGACTGAATGGTGCAGAATTGCAGACTAAAGGATTTAGGTGACCTTGGAGGCACAAATAAACCTCCAAGTGGCTTCAACAACTCTCAGAAAGAGGTCTAACGACCACATGATTGCAAGGAATATAAATCCTTCCATTCTCCACCTTTCAGTCAGAACTGAAGAAGCATCTTGAATGAGAAGCAAAATGTCTTCAAGCGAAATAAGAAAGTCTGGTTGCCTTTTGAAAGAAAGCACCTTTGGGGCAACTATGATCTGGATGATGGAGAATCTCCATAGATATTGAGTCACAAAAGCAAACCAGGAACTAAACCTAAGGATCTCTGTCCATACACCATGCTCAGCCACAGTGGCAGTAGTAGGCTAATGGCTACCTTGATTTGACAGCCTAAAACCCTGTTTTTTCATCAGCCTTCCACATAGCATATTAAGTAAAAAACCAAAACCCATTATATAAATTTTGCAGTGTTCTGCACATTTGCCTGGTTGTGACTAAGTTTCATGCACAGAGATTACTAAATTACATATCCAAATAAAGATCTAGGAGGCTGAAATCCTTAGACCTTCTTCCACTGAAGTAAAATTTGTTTTGGCTACAAGAATATCAGGCATGTTGGGTTAAAAATAGTTCAAAGAAGCCATCCTATCATTTGAACTTGTTATTGTTACCCTGTGCTGTTATGGTCTTCATCTCAGGGCTATGAAACCAATCATGGCTAGGCTATTTGGTTACTGAAACTTATTACACATTATAGTTTCCCAGTTAGATTCCTGAAAGGAAATTTGGGGGTAGAATAGGACATGGTGATAGAGATGGGCAGTTGCATCAATTATCAGATGTTTCTGATTTACTGAAGGACCAGAGTTTGTTGTGGTACGTACATAGTCCAGTCTGACATAGATGTTCTGTGTACTAATGCTAACTATTTCTCATAGTTCCACCTAAGCAGCAGTAAAAACAATCTTAAAAGTCCATGCTCGCAAAAGCCCCAAAAGATAGACATAACAATCCCTATTCATTGGAAGAGAGGATCAATATGATCTATAGTTTGCAAATGCCTAGTGGCATTTTCTGATGTTTTCAGCTATAATCTGAATCACTTACCTTTGTTTGCCCAAGAACAGCTTTTGGTTCACCCAGCGTCAGAGTTCCTGAAGATGGCCACTTAAGGAAAATGGCATACAGAATGCTGTTTTTTGGTTTGAATGTGTACCTGATGAGATATTGTATTCTATTATGTATCTTCAGTCTTTCAGAATAAAAATCTTTCCAAGACCTCTGAGAAGTAACTAATAAAACTACTAACATATATTTTAAAAATTAAGTCGCTTGCCAGGAATAATTATGATACTTTGTCTTTTGGGGAAAAGGAAAATCTAGAGCAGACATGTCAAATTCACAACGTCATGTGATGTCGTGCACCGTATCGGGACAGTTTTGCCATTGCCGGCAATGGGGTGGACGCGGCTTCTGTGTGATGTGTCTAGCCTGCGGGCCGGCAGTTTGACACCCCTGATCTAGAGGATAAAAACAGTAGATGGCTGCCCTGCTTGTTATCCCAAATAGGGACAGCTGATGTGGGAAGAGAGAATGTAATGACGATTGATTTTTGTGATGATTATTTCCACAAACAAATAAACTAATAGTCTACCAATACTTGATCATTAAGTGTTCTAAAATTGCATAAATTTTTGTGAAGAAATGTTCTTTAATAGCTTATAGTTTTTAGAAATGCTAATAACACCGAGACTGACGTATATGTACCAAACTCCTAATAAGTAGCAGATTGGAGGTAATGGGAGCAAAGGCGTATTCTGGAATATATTATAACAATCTAAGGTTGTTATCTTACATCAGGAAGGAAGCACATTTTGAAATCGCATGAAGGTTTTTCTCGAAGCAAACAGCAGTCTCAGGAAGTGATTAATTTGGATCAGAATAAATAGTATCCTTTCCCCTTATATCTACTTCTTTCAAATCTTGTATCTACATCTTTCAAAATATACTGAGATCAATCAATATACAAGTATGCATTAGCAATTGATGTCTGTAGCTAATATATCAATCCATATATAACCAATCCTGCCGGAAAAATCTACAGGTATAAATCTTTCACTTCTGCCATTAATTCTAACACTGAAACAAATAAATTCATGTTTTGTTTTAATTCAATTAATTTTAAATGCAGCTTTATATCTAATCATTGCTGCCCAACACGTTCTTATTTCTGACAGAGTTTTTTTTAAAAAAAAACTATGTTATCTGCAACTGATGAAAAGTTGAGCAACAAGTTTTATCTATGTTCCTAGCCAAACCAAATGTGAATAATAGGAAATTGTAACTGCTCATCTTCAGCTGAATATCTATTTTAGTTTCCTCCCTCTTCTGCAGCCACCTAAATATAAAAATTCAGGTGCAATCATACACAATTTTAACAATATAACCCTATACTTTATTTATTTATTTATTTATTATAGTATTTATATGCCGCCCAATCCCAAAGGACTCAGGGAGGCGTACAAAGTTAAAACAATGATAAAACAATAAAATAAAGCAGTCATACCGCAAGTCCGATCATATCCCGGCCCCCCGGGGACATCAGCCCCAGGCCTGCCGGAACAGGAGGGTTTTAATGGCCTTCTTAAAGGCCGGCAGGGTGGGAGTAGTTCGAACCTCGGGGGGAAGTTGATTCCACCAGGTCGGAGCCACCACAGAAAAGGCCCTTCCCCGAGGGCCCGCCAGCCGACATTGTCTGGCCGACGGGACCTGAAGGAGGCCCAATCTATGGGACCTCACCGGTCTCTGGGAACTGTGCGGCAGAATGCGGTCCTGTAAGTAACCTGGCCCTTGCCGTATGATTACAACAAAAGGCCCAAGTTACTCACAAGTAAATCTTGTTCAGTTTAAGCATGTTTAAGACTACTTAGTTACTTTAATATTGTCCAGATCACTGATCTCATAAACTCACCAGACTCCTGGTGTTATACTATCATTTTGGGCTCTCCAAGTTTTTGTGCTGAAAATAGCTTCACCATTCAATGCCAACCAACTCCCCATTTGCTTCAGACGCTCTTCAAATACAATAGGAATGCGGCCATCATGGGTGGGCCCAATATTCATCAAAAGATTTCCTCCACATGCTACTGTCTCTACAAGTTGCTGAAACAATTTAGGAAAATTAACAATAAAGATTTTAAAATTCAAAACATCTGTTTGAGTTTTTCCAGTCTAAATAGGCATTTCTGTTATAATGCTGTCAGTGCACTGCTGTAGGTTGAAGCAAAGGAGAACTATTCAAGTGGAGTTGCCAATTCTATGAATCACTACAAACTTCTTATTCATGAGCTCACCAACATCCTGCTCTGTACTTTACATTGTACTTTTGTCCTATGTGTGACATTAGCCAGCTCTGTTCATCTTCCTAATAGATCAAGTTTCTCTTAGTTCCTGGTGTTTCCTTTTGCTCATTTGACTGAAAATCAGGTCTATGTTTAGAGGGATACACATATAGCAGATTACTTGCAGATTACATCTGCAAAGTTTCCATCTCTATGAGCTGTTTAAATCCACTGAATTCATAAAAGGGTAAACTGGTAAAAACTTATTATCTTTAAGCATGTATATAGCTTCTTTCTCTGAAATTATGAAGTTACCGAATAACTTCAGGATTCAGTAATATTCAGGATTATGAAGTTTCTTCTAGTACTGCCAAATTACTCAAAGAAATAACCTCAAGGCTTTTGTTGAGAGAACTTCATTTCTTATGGGAACTGACCTGATGAGTGAACATAAAATAAATTTCTAATACAGCATCTTAGAAATTTACACAAACAGAAATGATGCAGGCCAGATCACACATTGAGCTAAGCCAATTTATGCTTACTTGGTTTGATTTTATGGACCTAGAGATTGTAATTTTTGTACCATGATTTACGGTTTAGTGCAATGTTTGAACATATACAGTAAATCTAGGACATGATGGATTTAAAGGATCAGGATTTTGAATGGATCTGGATGCTCTTTGGGAATTGGCTAGCAAAAACTGACTGAATATATTCTTGCTTCTGTTTGTATTTGAGAAAACCAATCACATGGTATTCTGGCTTAAGTTTTATAATGTGATATCTATAAGAGAATGGTTCAAAGTTAGATTGTATAGTACCTACATCCTGTATTTGCAAAATTTCTCATACAAATCAAAGAAACAAACTAAAACAGAAAGAGTAAAATGTGGAGTGAAATTGGGACGATGAGAAAGGAATGAAAAGATAGGAAATTAAGTACTTTTTGTAAAATCTAGGATAACAAATTGTAAGGTTTAATTAATTTATAAATTAATTTATAATCAGTGTTGACTCTTACTGACCACACAGATTTTATTCAGGATAATTTGTCCTCAATCTATTCCTTCAGGTTTTCCAATGGTGAAGCCACTGCTGTAAATGAATCCATCTACCTTATTGCTAGTCATCCTGCTGTCCCAACATTATGGCCATCTCCACAGGGCTCGATCTTGAATAACTGTATCAATCTGAGGCTGTGATTTGTGCCTCAACTGGAAACTCTGGATTCATTTTTATGATGATCCATTTGTTTGTTCTCTTCGTGAACCACAGAATTTTTAAATCTTTTACAATACCAAAATTCAAAAATATCAATGCTCCTTCTAGCCTACTTCTTTAAATTATAATTTTCACTTCCATAGAAGCCTTCACTTCCATAGAAAACTTCATTTCTTACAGAAGAAAACAGGGCCTACACAAGTCTGATAACTGTAGATATAGATACATTCTAGCATATGGATATATTTTCCGAGGTCTTTATTGTTACTCTACCAAATGCAAATATGTGACTTATTTCTGCTGATTCTGGAACAGTTGATAATTGATCCTAAAAGGCAGAAGCTATCCACTCTCTCCACTGTCTGTTCTAAGGCTGGTTCTATACCTGTCATCTTTAATTTTAGTCCCATTTTTCCACTGTGCTCTTGATTTTTATTACTAGAGCTTGTAGATCCTTTGTGTTTTTACCTATCAGAATAGTATCATCAATTTGGGGCAGATTAGCGATACATCTTCCTCCAATTGTAAAACCATATTCATTTTCTTCCAATCCAGCTATCCTGTTTTTTTTTATTGAAAGTTTTTTAAATTTTACAAAACAAATCCCCTCCCCAAACCCCCACCCACCCTCCCACACCGTCCCCCACATCCCCAAACCTCCCAAACCCTCCCCCAACCTTCCCAGAGTTGAGTACAGGCTTAGTTAAAATTTTTCAAAAAAAGAAAAAAAAACTTAAAACACATATAAATCCTAAAGAAATCTAAATACATTAAATTAAATAGGTTATCTTCTCTAAAAAATAATTCTAATATCATACTTATATTATTATCCATCATTCTATATAAACTCCCTCCAGAACACAAATTTAAACATTACTTTCTTTGAACATCTGTACCTACAATATAAAATCCAATCTCTCCCTCTTTCTTTATCCTAGAACAAAAAAATAAACATATAAACCTTCATTGTACCATTAAAACTAAATACTCTTTGAATACTTAAACTAAATACTTAAACTTAAACTTCTTATCTAAGATTTCCATTCAATCTCCATAATCTTCTCTCCTATCAAAAAAAAAAAAACTTAAAAGACGTATAAATCCTAAACAAATCTAGATACATTTAATTAAACAAGTTATCTTCTCTTAATAATAATAATTAAAAAATAAACACATTATAATATACTCTAAACCTTTTCATATCATACTTATGTTATTATCCATCTTTCTTTATAAACTCCCTCCAAAACACAAATTTGAACATTACTTAAAACTTAAAACATTAGAATTCCCTTGTACACATTTAAATCTTTACCAATAACAAATTCGATCCACAATAAACACATTCCTTATCAGTCTCTCTTATCCATAAACCATTAAAGTTCCCTTATACACATTTAAATCTTTACCAATAACAAATTCCGTCCACAAGAAACACAGTCCTTATCAGTCTCTGTTGTCCATATAAAATTTTCATTCGATCTCCATCCTTATCAGTCTCTCTTATCCATAAATCTCAAAAGAAGTGCTTTGAAATCTGCCCTTAAAGGTAGCTCCAAAAAGTTTATAAGTCCTGCTTCTCCCGCCGACTCAAAAGCCAATACTTGTGAGGGTTCCTTAAACTCCTTCTGTTGGTCTTTTTCTTTACAGTTATATGTTGCACAAGTTGTCCTCTGCTCCTTCCTCTCGACTTGTTGAAGCCCCTCAAACTGAGATTTCCCATTTTTCATTAATATAGGCTCTTCAGACAACAATTCTACCCTTGAAGGTTGCTCCAAGAAATTTATAAGTCCTACTTCTCCCGCAGATTCAGAAACCAATAGTTGTGAGGCTTCCTTAACCTTCTTCTGTTGCTGCTTTTCTTTATAGTTATATGTTGCACAGGTTATCTTCTGCTCCTCCATCTCAACTTGTTGAGGCCCCTCAAACTGAGGTTTCCCAATTTTCATAAGTATAGGCTCTTCAGACTGCAATTCTACCTTCTTTTCTTCCAAAGCTTTAAACTTAATAGATGGCGATGAACATACCCCCAGGACCGAAGTGTAAAAATCTTTTGCTTGAGAAACAGTATTAAGTCTATAACATATCCCCAGGTAATTCACCACCATTCCAATCGGAACATCCCATCTGAAAGAGATTCGTCTCTTTTTAAGTTCATCTGCTAAAAAAGCAAACTCCTTTCTTCTTCTTAAAATTTTTGATGGGATCTCCTTTAGAATTATAACATCTTGTGAAGCAATTTGAAATCTCTTCTTATAAAAAGCTTGTATAATTTCGTTGCGCAGGGATCTTTTCCCAAAATAAATTACCACATCTCTTGGCAAGTTCTTTTGCACTGCCACCACAGAATTAACTCTAAATAATTTTTCAATTTCACTAAGTATTTCCTCTTTTTCTTTATTCAAAATCACAGCAAAGTCCTTTGCAACCATCTCTCTCAGATCTCCTTGCAGAGACTCTCCCAAGCCTCTGATTCTTAGAGCATATTCCATTTGTCCTTAATATGTATTCAGCATTTGGGTTTGATAAATAAGGGGGGAAGATACAGCCTTGTCTCATTCCTTTACCAACCTAGAGCCAGTCTACTTCACCATATTGTCCATACTATTGGTTCCTGACCTTTGTATAGGATATGCATGAGGATAGTGAGGTGTTCTGTTAATTAGTTATTCTAACAATATATAATTTGTTACATTTTTGAAATAAGCTATTAATATTTTCTGGAAAAAAAGAATTAATAGTCCCCATACAGTTACAGGTACCATTTTGACTTGCCTTACCTTTATGAGATCTTCAATAGTCAGATAATCACTTAATTGTGCATTCCTTCGGTATCCCCAAGACTTTTTGTCAATTGTCATACAGTTCTCCCACTTATGGGGCAAAAGATGTTTAGGGCTGTATCGATCGGCACAAGTGAAATAACCTCCGTGTTTGCATATTGTGCCAGCTCCCCAGCGATCATTTGTTACAACTGTTTCCTTAACAGGGCTGAAAAATTAAAACACATTGTGCCAACTCAAAACTGCAAGGATGTTTCTTCACTGATTATAAGAAATAAACTTGAGAGGAAAAACAGGGTATAACGAAACTTTCTTCAATTGAACTAAAAGAATAGGTCCATTATTCCCAAATGTCAGGTCAGGTCTGTCTGTCTATCGTAGAAATAATCCTCAGGTTACAATGGTGATCGGGGCCAGAATTTCCATTGTTAAGCAGTGCAGTTGTAAAGCACAACATCGTGCAATCCTGAGGCTTAGTGATGATAATCCTGGCATTCCTGGTTGCCATCATAACCTGAGGACCACACAGGTCATTAAGCGGGGGCCTCATATGATTGTGACTCCCTACCAGCTCCCCCATTGACTTTGTGGGAAGCAGGCCAGAATATATGAAGTTGCAATCACGTATCCACTGGGATGTTACGACAGCCAGAATTCCAAGCACCAGTCGTAAGTACTATTCATTCAGTGCCCCTGCAACTGGTTTAGTGTCATTTGCATGCAAAGTCTGTTGTACTGAGGTCTTGGAAAATCAAGGTTTTTAACAATTAGGTAAAATCTGAAAACTGTTCCTATTCAGATTTAATATTATTTGTTTTCTGAATATGCACATGTCAGATTACTTTTTCTTCCATTCTGATTTTCAGAATCTTAAAACAATAAATGCCTGACATGATTGCTATAGTCTAATTCTTTCTTCCTTGCTAGATAGTGGTCCTTCAGAGCAGAGCAGTGATGTCTGTGGGGAAAGGGAAAGAGGGACCAAAATGACACAAGCAACCTCACATGGTAATACAAGCCATACTCCTTTTCTACATGGGTTGTGTTGTTGCACACCTTCCCTAAGAGGTGGAACTTGCAAAATGACACTGCAACACTGTGGTCTGACCCGGTGGCATCATTTTAGCAGATAGGAATTGGAGACCTGCCAGATGGCTGTTACTTAGTGCACCTCAGCTCCCGTGGCAATGGTGGGAGATGATGGGCAGTGTGGTTCTACCACTAGTCCTGGCTTTCCTCTTTCTTCAAGCAAAAGTACCGTTCAAAGGGACATAATAATTAAGGTAAGCTTCTCACACACATGAAGTTTCCAGATAGAAAATTCTCAAAAGTACATTTAATCATAATAGTATGATTTACTTTAATAAAGAGCTTAACAGAAGAACTTAACACATGCAATTTGCTATTCTGAAATTCCCTGTCAAGTAATATACTCCCATTCTGACACATTTTCAGAAAACAAAAGCAACTATGCATTCCTGGGTTAGAATTTTAGAAATGCCAGTTTTAAATCCATTACTTCTCCATCAATTTTGAAGAAGTGTCAGTTCTCTTGATTGTCTGATACTTGATTTTTGGGAGGCCCGCTTGTAAATACGTTGCAAATGTTTTAAACATAATATCAAATCAGAGATAAAACAGTAAATTTAAACATAACGAACACAGTGGAACTGCAAATCTTTGCAAATACAAAGAACAATGTTTGTCGAAGGCAGAAAGCTGAAAAGCAGGAACTGCAACCTTATGATGTATTTAGGCAGTAGTTCCCAACAGGCTCTAGATTAAATCTCTGACTTTAAGTAGGGTGGAGGAAAAGAGAGATTTATGCATTAAACTGTTAATTCATCCTGTATCTGAATTTCTTTGGCCACCACAAATTGAGAACATAAAATTCCAAATAAAGAAATAATGAAAAAAAATCATAAAACTATGATAAGAAGCTACAAGAACAGTAATAAAATGCAACACATAAAACTACAGTAAAACCAGCAACAATATAAATGGTATGGTGTTCTAAAAGAAATTTTAATGGCTGGGAGGATGAGGGTTCAACTGATGCCAAAAAGTATTGTTAACATAAAACCCAGGGAAGCTGCTCTAACCTACTGCTAACAGCATAAACTATGCAAGTAACTCAGAAATTAAATTATGTGGCAGCTGTGTGAAGAAAAGGCCAGACTTTCCCCAAAGCTGGCTGTGATTGGATGGGCACAAGAAATACTCCTAAGTGATGTACAAAAATATGAAATGTTTAATTTTTTTCTCTCCATCAAGATATTGTTTTAGATCATAGGATCCAATTAACTATTTTAAAAGCAATACCTTAATCGTAGTACTATTTAAAAATAAGGGAGCAATGTGAACCAAGACTGCAGTTTAAAGCAATCAATAATACAATGTATTATGATTGGGGCACAATTTCCTTCTAAATATTTAGGCAAAATGCACTATTTCAATACGAAAATGACACATACCTGTCATTATAAAGCCATGCTAGGAAGGCAGTGCTGTTCCAGTAAGTATCTGGAGCATTCCCATCGCCATCTGACCACAGAATCTCTGGCTGATATTGGTTCACAATCTCATAAAGCTCTGGAAGAGTTTTGACATTTGGAAACTGTTGTTTCTTGAATTTGCTAGCAGCATCATCACGGAAGAGAGGGTGGAACCATTCAAACAGTGAGTGATATAGCCCAAAACGTAAGCTTGTCCGGTTTCTAATGGATGTAGCTAACTCCTTCACAAGGTCCCGTTTCGGTCCAATATCAACACTGTTCCAATTCCAGGAATACTTTGACCCCCACAGAGTAAAACCTGGTCAAAAAAGAAAATGGTTAGGAATGAATTATTTTGGATGTGTACACTATATATTCTGGAAACCTGTTTTGCATTTTTGTTTGTCATTGTTATCTCCTGATATGAGACTAATGAGATTATGCATTGTATAAGGCATCTTCAACAAGATGATCTAAATTTGTATACTGATACAAGATCACTAGATGATACAGGATTGCTTGTCCTATATTATTTAAATCTTCTGTGCAGTGTCCTAGGACAAAGTGTAAGATACAAGTGACTTATTATTAATACACCATGCTAAGCCACACAATATGCTTATTTAGGGCCCAGCATGACATCTAACTCCATCTTTTACAGATTATCACGTAAACTAAGCCCTTCTGGCTTTTTCTATAAAAGGAGGTAAAGATACCCCTAAATTGAACTGGAATCCTTTTCGGCTGAGTTATAGAAATGACTTGCCATTGCTGTCTTCCATGACTTCTGAGATTTTCCAGTAATTCTGTATCCAAGTATCAACCAGAGCAAACTCAACTTGGCTTCTAAGATACGGCTAGCTACTTCTGTTACCTGCTGCTGCCTGGCTTCTTCTACTGCATCATCATCATGGCTTAGCATTGTAACATTACTTTCAGCCATCTTTTTCCTTTTATTTAGAATATAATAAGGATATCTCACCCAAGCCTTTCATCTGGTAAAATAACTAAACTGAGCCATTGAGATCCAAAAGAACTATGGTCACTTTACCTTCATGATGTTTTGAAGTCAAGACAATGTATTTGGCACCTGAAGCACTCAGAATATCTGCCCACTGGTTGGCATCAAAGAACTCAGTTGTAAACATAGGGCCAAACTCTTCATAAGTGAATCCAGGTTGGTAGTTTTCCTTCATAAAAGTTACATAAGGTTCCTTCTTTTTCTGTTGCCAATACCACCTGCAAAGGAACAGCATCCCATGTATCTGCATACAATGACAGAAGGACTAAGAAAGATAAGACTGAAGCAAATTCTTACACATATCTTGAATGTCCTATTACATGAGCAGGTTTTGTGCAAGTGCAGAACCAGTGTTTTAAAATATTTTTTCTGATAATCTCAAAATGCACTCTCAAAGTGCATCAGATTCAAAGCTTGATAGTCCACAGAAGTCTGGAAACATAGCTTCAGAAGATAAATATAAAAAAAAATAATTTGAAGAGTATAATTTGGTTTAATTTGCTAACTTTCCCCAGAACACTGGGGAAAGATGCTGAGAAACATGGAAAGAAATAAGATGACCAGTAGCAAACTGGATAGACTCAGTTAAATGGTGATACGTGCATCTTTGGAAGACTTGAAACACATTAAGGATAGATTATGATGGGAAAAAATATGTGGTTGCTAGGAGACAATACCGAGTTGTCTCAGTATTGATGTCACATAATCAATTTATCAATGTCTTGAGGGAAAGACCAGGTCTTTGCAGCCTTCCAGAAGATTAATAGGATCAGGCTATCCACTCTCAGGGGAAAGCTGTTCCATAGGATAGGTGCTGAACAAAGAAGGCATGTTTCCTGGGTCCTATAGACGATTTGTTTTTACAGAAATGATCTGCGATATGCTCACTCTGCTGAATCTAGTGAAATGGGTTGAAACCATTGGAGATGGATGGTCCTATGCCATGGAAGATTCTAAAGGTGGTAACCAGCACGTTCAATTGCACTTGGAAATCTACAGGGAGCCAGTGCATCTTGTACAACAATGGTGTCATAAGGATAAATATCGATGCACTGCAAGCTGTGTGTGCCCCTGCATTCTGGATCAAAATATTGTTCATACCCCATGTAGAGCCAATCTGCTGTAACAGTAATTCCTCTAGGAAATAAAATAAGAAGAAATGGACATGACTGTTGATTTAAATGATGCGTATTTGAGAGAAAAGTGGCAGGTCAATTAACAGCAGGAAATAAAGCCCTTTGGATAGCAAAATCCTTCCAGGCAAGCAGAGCCTGGTTTATTAATGGTTTCTACTTCCTGGCTTGACCTCCAACTCTACTCTTTTATCTATTTCCAGGATTCACACTGAGTGATCCACATCTTAAAATTAACCCATAAACTACACTTCAAAATCAATTGTGTTGTTTATCCTTGAGTACAGCAGCAAAATTATGAGAAAGGCAGGCATTTCTGCATACATATGAGACTTCCCTAACATACACATATAGACAAACCTTTTACTTAAAAATAGAAATAAAAACAGAAGTTGTATAAGGAGAACTAAAAATGACACAATTCTCCAAAGGCCCAATGGAATCAGCTGAGAATGTTAGCTGGAAAAAGTAAAGGATGAAGGAAAATCCTGCTATTTCAATATTTTCAAACGGGAATAGACAATATAATGTCTATGAGTGCCTGAATCCGCAAAGTGTTCGGCAACACCCACGATTTCCAAACATCCAAGATAGTCAAACTAGAGTTTTTCCGGGTCAGGATTAAAAGGGGGCAAGTACTTTAGTGTTATCACGATTCTCACATTACCCCAACGGGGGAAAAAAAAATTGCAATGAGATTAAGAGCAACTCATGCCCGCTTCATTTATGCCCGTCTTCACAGCTGACAAGCATCTTAAATCACACTGATCCTTGCGATTTCCCCAGGAACCGGGAGGAGAGGACAGGTCAGAGAAAGCGCGTGGCAGAACTGGCAGACGGGAACCTCACCAAAACCACTCGCTGCCGAAACTTGGCACGGAAAAAACACCCCAGTGGATGAAAATCCCAAACTTGGCTTCATCGAACCAGGGCGGAAGTGGCCGGGAGTCCAGAGACTCCCACGTCGGGTCGTAGCGACCACCCCGGCCCCATGAGGGGAGCAGGAGGAAGATGAACAGCGGCAATAGCAGTGGAGGTAACAGCAGCAAGAAACGAGGAAACCCACGCCGGGGAAGGAAGGAAACGACCAGCCCAGCCATGAGAACCCGGGCGAAACTCCCAACGTTTCTCGCTCGCTCCTCCGCCGCCAAGTCACATGGACGCCGAGTCACGTGACCACCAGACTTCCTCCTGCTACTGCTGCTACTGCTTCTCTGCTGCTGCTTTCGCCATCGAGGCTTTTGAGTTCTGCCTTTCTGGGGAACTTTCTTTGTCTCAGATTGTGCAATACGTAGGTTGGGTCAGAGATTTGTGAGACGGTCCTTTGTCTAAGGCTGCAGGCTCATCAAGGTGCCCTCTTGGAAAGAAAAGGAAAGGAAAGGCGGTGGGAGTTATTGACAAGTTCATCCCATCTTTTAGATATGGGAAGGAAAGAAAGATGACATCTTGTAACGTTTACCTGGTAATACAGGTAGTCCTCGAGTTACAACAGTTTGTTTAGTGACCGTTCAAAGTTACAACGGCACTGAAAAAAGTGACTTATGACCGTTTTTCACACTTACAACCATTGCAGCATTTTCATGGTCACATGACCAAAATTCAAACACGGGAACCGAGTCATATGACGGTTGTAGTGTCCTCAGGTCATGCGATCACCTTTTGCGATCTTCTGACAAGCGAGGTCAACGGGGAAGCAAGATTCACTTCACAACCATGATACTAACTTAAAAATTTCAGTGATCCACTCAACAGCCATAGCAAGAAAAGTCGTAAAATGGGATAAAACTCACTTAACAATTGTTTCGCTTAGCAACAGAAATTTTAGGCTCAATTGTGGTTGTAAGTCGGACTACCTGTACTACTTTTGTGCCTTCGAGTTAGTATTGATTGGATATATTCCTGCATTTTTGGGGGCAAGATTTCAGAAGTGGTTTGACGTTGCTTGCTTCCTAGGCTTGAGGGAGAGTGACTGGCCCAAGGGCATCCAGTTGGCTTCATGCCCATGGTCTCCCAATTTCTACATGGGGCCTAGATGCTACTCCAAACTGGCTCAGTTATTACTACGCTTGCATAAGATTTGATGTAAGCCACCTTACTCTTTATCAGCCATTTTCATGTGATCCTTCTTAATTATGCAACTGGTTCTCAGATGTTTTTATGCTGTTCTCTTATTGTGAATTAATGCCTGATTTTTATTTAATATTTAATTTTCTCTTAAGTAATAACCTGGTGAATGATTTATAAATCCAATAAATTCAAGTCTGGTAAAAAATAAACATCTAAGTATTTCAGCAACTGTAAGGAGAACTTTCCTAAAATGGATGGAATTTTGAATGGTTGTTTTTAATGAAGCAGACTGAGAAAAACTTCATTTCAGGTGTCTTCTTAATCTAGTTCTAATTTCTCCCACTATTTTATTTTATTTATTTAACTTTAACAATAGCCATTGCCTTAAGTATGCACAGTGGCCTTAATTGTCAAGGGAAAGATGCAACTGTCTTGTAATGCAGTAGTGCAGTGCAAACAGTATAGTAATGTTGTTATGCTTATATGTCACCACTGTTACTCAAGATGCATTGGTTACTAGTCAACTTCCAAGTGTGATGTAAGGTGTCGACTATTACTGTATATGGCATAGGCCTAGATATCTCAGGAACTGCCTGTCTCCAATCAATTCTCACTGCAGATACGTTCCCCGCAGTATGTGCACCTCAGGCCCCCACTATTAAACATTGTCATCTTGCGGGACTAAGAAAGTGTGCCTTTTCTGTTGTTGCCCCCCACCTCAGGATAAGGATCCAGCCTCTCTCCTTGGGGTTCTGAAAAGTCCTCAAGATCTGGCTTTGGTCCCAGGCCTGGAGTTAATATACAGACAGACTTCAACTTACATTTCATTTAGTGACCATTTAAAGTTACAATGACAATGAAAAAGCTTACGACCATTGCAGCATCTCCATGGTCATGTGATCAAAATTCAGACACTTGGCAACTGACTCATATTTATGACAGTTGCAATGTCCTGCGGTCATATGATCACCTTTTGCAGCCTTCTGACAGGCAAAGTCAATGGGAAAGCCAGATTCACTTAATAACTATGTTACTAACTTAACAACTGCAGTGATTCACTTAACAACTATGGCAAGAAAGGTTGTAAAAGGGGGCAAAATTCACTTAACTGTCTTGCTTAGCAAAAGAACTTTAGGGCTCAATTGTGGTTGTAAGTGTATTGTTCTATTTTGATAGGTGTTGGTTTTTTTTATTTCTGGTGTTTTTAGATTGTTTTTGTTTAGGCTATTTTTATGGTTTTGTTTCAACTGTTTTTATGAAATTTGCGGGGCTCTGTATACCACCCAGAATCCATTGGGGTTGGATGTACTGTTATTTCCCATTCTTCAATCTCTTGAAAATGGAAATTATATTGATGTTTAGCATATCTGAGGGCTTCGTCTTTCTGATATCATTCCTGTGCATTTGATCTATACTATTTACTCCTTTGATTATATGTCCTTCATTCCATGTCTCATACATGTCACAGCTTATCTCATTAGAACAGCTACACTGGGTTTTAGATTACCTCCACCCTTCTTAACGTTTTGGGTAACCAGGGCTTTTTTTCTCATAGAAGGCCCAGAACAGAGTTCCGGCACCTTTTTTGGATAGAACCTTATAGGGTAGGCCAGGCAGGTTGTATGACGTGTGTGAGTTCCGGCACCTTTTTTTTTTTTTAGAAGAAAAGCACTGTGTGTAATTATTTGTGGAGTTTTTAAGTACTTCATTTTTCTACTTTGTCCAACTTTCTTGAGCTCTTTTTTCCTTCAACAGTTCCTAACCAACTTTTTTCTGAGCTTTTTAAAACCAGTATTCTTAAAACATCAGTTACACACTAATCCTAATCCAACCCAAGCATATTATGATTTAGCACAATATGGAATCCAGTCCACAGGATTGTTAGAGCCGGAAAAGCATAGAACAAAAGGTTTCAAGCTGATTGAATTCATTCTTATTGACCAGGATCAAATCTAGTATAAAAAAATAATATAATCCATTTCTTCAGAAATTTCATATCAGCAAGACAAGAATACATTAGATGTTCCATTAGGACTTCAGATCTTAATTTCATCCTGGGGTTTCCCCCCCCCCCACATGCATTAGTATATAGGTATTGGAGGCTATGAATATTGCATCTTCCTAATTTCCCTATTGTATTTACTTGAAGGTCATTTGGCCTCTCTGCCACTCTCTTTGTCATGCATATTTTTGTCTCTAATATTTTGTTATTGAGCCCTAAAGTTTTTGCCACCCATCCTCAGCAAGATTTTGTTGTCAGCATCTCTTGTTAAAGGTTGCATGATCTGCTAAACACACTCCTTCTAGTACTATGACATATTTCTTCTTCCTGCCCCGGATTTTTATTTCTGTTGGATTCCACAGTCCACAAAATGAGACCTCCCCTAAGATTACAGTTAACAGAATCACTGCATCATCTTTTTGTGCCAGTGTTCTAACATCCAAAAGAAATACTATTCATATAGTTTCTATATTGTTTGTTTCCACCTGATCAGCAGGACAGAACTGTAGTGAGCTAATTTTATGAAGCATCTCCGCCATATCTTTACCACATAATCTCCTCATGACATGTCCAGTTTATAGACAGTTGCTTCTGATCTTCTCAAAACAGATCTCCAAGTATGTGTACTTTGCAGATTGGCACATGATTTCCTTCCATCCAATTGATCTTGAGCTTTTTCCTTAAAGTTCTTTGGAAAACAGGGTGATCTACAAGTGGCCCATCGCCAGGAAGTGGCCCAAAATGTGAAAAGTATTGCCATGGGTGGCATAATATTAATGCTACTAAACATTCCTCTTGTCCCTATCTGTCAGATGTTTCTATTCTCCTACCTCTTGCCTTTTACTTCTCCTTGAAATGACATCCCTTTCTAATGATGTTCAGAAGGGTTGGCCACCTCCTACACAAAGCCCAATTGTGCTGATACCAGTAAGTTGAATTATATAGAGGTACGCCTTCAAATGCTTTAACTTCTCTTTTTGCAGAGCCATTGGCTTGCACTTGTTATAATTATAATCCACTCATACTGTCCCTGAAGAAACATGGGAATGAACAATATATATCCTGCAGATCTTTGGAACAGGAGGGAATATAAATCTGGCAAATAAGTGCTATCTACAGTATGTCAAGGGTTTCACATGTGTAAACCATAACTGGCCAGGTTTTCTTGCAGTGGTGCTTACAAAAGTAAATAGGGGGATGTAGGGTATCTCATTCACATGCAGTGAAGATGACCAGATGACTGTAAAAAATATAAATCCTTCCATTTCTCACCAGTCAGTTACAACTGAAGAAGCTTCTTAGGCGAGAAACAAAAGGGTTTTAAAGAAAAAAATGATGAAGTCCAGTTAGCTTTTTGAAAAAGCACCTTTGGGACAGCTTACAGTAAAGTCAAGATGGAAGCAAAGTTCCTTTCTATTCAGAGCAGATGTTAGATTTAGAGGGATATGGGATGAGGTGCCTACAAATGAAAAGGAATTACAAGATTGGCATCATAGCTGTTGAGTCCTGTGATCACATCTTAATAGTGAATTATCCGAGAATATCTGGTACTTGCAGAGCCCTTTGGAATCTCTTGTGATCAGTTTGTATCCATGCATGGCTAATTCGGATATGAATTGATCACAGGCATTATTATGCATAGGAAAAACCAGCGCTAAGCAAGATAATTTAGCTGAGGGCCTTAAGCAATGTTTCTCAGTCTTGGCAGTCTTAATCTATTGTATGTGGACTTCAATTCCCAGAATTGCCTAGCCAGCATGTTGGGAGTTGAAGTCCAAACAGCATAAAGTTGTCAAGGTTGGGAAACACTGGTCTGAAGTAACAGACAAAGAGGCACTTGGGGCAGAACAAGGCTCTATTTCAAATGGCTACTTTCCCATTCCAGTTTACATATCGAGAAAACACCATTTTCTTTACGATTATTTTTCCGAGAGGAGGAAGACTTGCTGGAGCTGACAACCAGCTGTGCTGATTTTTCAGATAATTTAAGACTTAAATCCATTCTATCTTTCCCTGGTTTTCCATTTTATACAATGATACAATAACTATATGATGGAACATATGCATGTATAAATGATCTGTATTGAAGAATATCTGTTCTGACACTATCAGATATCAAGCAACTGTTTCATGCGAGTCTCTTGAAAATTCTTTAGCTTTGAATGCTGCCAGAAATGTTAGCTGAGTGACTTTTGCCCATTCACTTGCTCATTCAATTATCTTTGAATGATTAGCCGTTCATGTTTAATGCAGCATAAGTGTACCTTTTATCAGTAAGTGCCTTTGATGGTCTGAATATAGTTTTCCTTTATACAATACTATAGGCATGATTGGCAGCCTCTTACATTTTGAAAGGAAGAGTGCTTCTTAATGGATGGGATTAAGGCCTCCTTGACCTTAGTTTGCATTGACTCCTGTTTGATTATTTAGTATCAAAAGGGGAAACTGACCCAGTGACTAATGCATCATAACATCAAATGCAATTATTCAAATAATGATAGAATGACCTCTGGCTTCTTTTATAAACAACAGGTGGTTAATGTTGACTGTTCAACCAATGACTTAATTGATTCAGTCTTTTGGTTTTATATGATTCGCTGTTACTTATTTTCTTATTTGAGAGCCAATTTCTAAGGTAGCAGCTTAGAAATCAAGAGACTATGAGCTCTAGTCCTGCCATGAACCTAGGTGCCTGCCACATAGGCACCTGGGTGACCCTCAGCAAGTCACCCACCCTCAGCCCTAGGAAGGAGCAATGGCAAACCTCTTCTGAAAAACATTGCCAGGAAAACTGCAGGGACTTCTCCAGGTAGTCTCTGAGAATCAGACATGATTGAATGGAAGGATTTTTCTTTCTATTTAGAAAAATTATAATCTGCCATTCAATTCAGCTAAGATATAATTTGGGGAAAATAAACAAGGATCTAATGTTCATCCATTTTAAAATATTCTTTGAGCGCTCCAATAAACATGATATAATATTTTAGGTCAATTTTTAAATAAACCCATTTATTTTCTAAAATTAGATACTCCAATCCTTCTTTCCACAGCTGAAATGTAAAACTGTAAAAATGACACTAATTTTTATTTGACTTTTTAATACCTTATAAAAATGAAATTGTTGGTTTCCAATCAAGGGGATGAATAAGTTAAAATTGCAGGCATCCTGGAGATTTTTAAAATCTACAGGGTATACTGTTTAATTAGTACATGCTTCATTTGTATATATTGCCAGCATATACAAGCGATAAGTCAAAATGCAATCTCTCAAAATCTTTAAAACAAAATGAAAATTCAATAGATTTTTATTTTTATCCCAAGCATTCCAACAAGACAACTTTCCCATTATTTTTAAGTTTGAGTTATACCACAGCCTTAGGTGATTCAGAATCAAATATAACTACTTACCTATAAACAGGGCTTTTTTTCTCATAGAATGCCCAGAACGGAGTTCCAGCACCTTTTTTGGATGGAACCTTGTCAGGTAAGCAAGGTGAGTTGTATGAGGTGTGTGAGTTCCGGCACCTTTTTTTTTTTTTTTTTTTTAGAAAAAAAGCACTGCATATAAATAACCTCATATGCCTAACACCTTTCAAAGGAGGAAATTTTTGTAATTTTTGAGATCACGGGTAAGAAACGTGACTGATACAGAAATACACAATTGTGCCAGAATAATTTATTTTGTAGCCATCTTATAAAAGATTGGAAATGTCAAGATTTGACAGTCTCAAATTAAACAAAGCAAAATGCCATAATCTATGACATATTTAGGCTCCAATCCTATGCATTCTTACTTAGAAGTGATTGCCCTGCCTGCTCTGGCATTTATTTCTGTGTTACGACTGCACTGCTAATCCTAAAAATAATTGCAGAGGAAATTTCCCTGATGAAACAAACTTTCATAATTACAACCCATCAAAGAAATTTTCTCCAGAAACATTGAATAAGCAAAAAGACTGATTAGGTTCCTTTTGCATCCACGTTTTGTGGCATGCACTTAACTGTATATACAGTACATCAACTGAAAAATAAATGCTAAGCCTGATTCTACATAAGAGGTGATTAATTTCCTTATTGTTTTCCATAACAAGATAAGTATCAGTTGTGGGTAGACAGCAATTCTTATTGAGAAAACCACAGGGGAAGAGAGAGGTAACACATATCCACAGGTGTTTGAACTTCCAAGTTGTGATCTTTGATTTCTTTCAAAATATTTTTAAAAAATACTAAATAAATTATGAGATTTCTCAAAGGTGCCCCTGTCTTTGGGATAGGTTCTAGATGCCGAATATTTATAAACCTATAGATATAGATGAACTATGTTCCAATAGTATAGAATATGAGTAAAGAATGCTAATATTCTTTGTTATCAAAATATTTAATAGAACATATTTCAGTGGTACACTAGAAGTTTGCATACAGAATATTTTGTCAATGAAAACAAGTAAATAAAAGAAGAATAAAAATGTTTTATACTGTAACTGCAGATTCGGGAAATGGACATTAAAGCACTTTCCATGCAATTTTAATGAAACCATTGATTTTATATTCACTATCCAAAAATTGTAGTGTCAGATACATTAGCAATACATAAGAGAGACATTATAATATCATATGTCGATACAAGAAAGTTTACTTATATATTCAGAGTCATTAGCAAAACTAAAACATTGTTGAATCAGCCATCTTCGATTCTCTTGCAGAAGATGTTCAAAAAAGGGAAATAAGTGGAATCAAGAAATTACAAAGCAATCAGCTGGATGTTAATACCTGGGAAAATCCTAGAAAATATAATCAAGTAGCAGATTTGTGAGAACCTAGAAACGAACAAGATGATTAATAGAAGCCAGCATCGGTTTGTTAACAACAGATTGTGCCAAACCAACCTATTGCCTTCTTTAATAAAGTGACTAAATTTATATATCAAGGAAATGATGTGGATATAGTATACTTGGACTTCAGTAAGGCATTTGACAAAGTAGACCACTCCCTACTTCTTGTAAGATAGAGCAATGTGGAATAGACAGTACCACCACCAGATGGATTTGCAGTTGGCTGACCAACCACACTCAACATGTAGCCCTCAATGGAAATATATCTACATGGATGGAAGCATGCAGTGGAGTGGTCAAGGTTCTGTCTTGGCCCCAGCGCTCTTCAACATCTCCATAAATTATCTAGATGAAGATATAGAAGGAGAGCACATCAATTTTGCAGAGAACATCAAGTTGGGGGAAATTGCTAATACTTTGGAAAATAGACTCAAGATTCAAAAGGATCTTGACAGACCAGAGAATGGACCCTATCCGATAAGATGCAGTTAAGTGGTGAGAAAAGTAAGATCCTACACTTAGGTAGAAAAACCATATGCATAAGTATAGAATAGGCAGTATCTGGCTCAGCAGTAGTAACTGAGGGGGATCTAGGTGTCCTACTGGACCACCATTTAAGTATGTCAGCAGTGTGTTGCAGCTACCAAAAAAGCCAATGCAGTCCTAGGCTGTATCAACAAAGGGATAACATCAAGATCATGAGAAATGATAGTACTGCTCTATACTGCATTAATGAGGCCACACCTGGAATATTATGTTCAATTCTACCCTCCATGACACAAAAACAATGCTGAAACCCTAGCAAGACTGCAGAGAAGAGCAACAAAGACGATAAGAGGTCTGAAGACTAAACCATATGATGAATGGTTAACTAGATATGTGTAGCCTAAGGAAGAGAAGGGCTAGGGGGTGACATGACAGCTGTCTTCCAATACTTGAGAGGAAGTCACAGAGACGAGGGGGTTGTCTTAGTCTGCAAAGCACCTGAGGACAGGACAAGAAGTAACAGGTGGAATTACTGAGAAATTTCCTGACAGAGCAATTAACCAATGGAACAGCTTGCCTCCTGGAGTTGTAGCTGCTCTATTGCTGGAGGCTTTCAACAAAAGATTGGGCATTCATTTGTCTGGGATGGTATAAGGAGTCTTGCCTTGGGTAGAGGATTGGACTAGAAGACCTCCGGGCCCTATAATTCTAGGAGAGATATTGTGCTAAAGTTGATGATTTGATTATGACCAGGGTTGTAGTGATTTGTATCACAGAATCAATGTATTTTTTATTTTGAAATTTTGTTATTAATCACAAGTTTAGGACAGAAAGTAACTTTATAGCAATGTTTATTATACATTTATACAATAGAGAGAGAACATGTTTCTATTTCAATATTCCCTTTACTATTTTATGTCTATTTCATATGTAAACGTTTTATTATTGTCAGTTCCCTTGAATTGCTAGAATATATTTCTTAAATAATCAGTTTTTGAGAAAAGACATTCTGTTGGAGTCAGATTTTATGAATGAAGTTCAACTTAATCCCTCCTTCATTTCAGTTCAGTGAGTAGTATGTCACAATTTTTCAAAGTAATGCAGGTTTGCTTTTATTGGACAAAATAGTGAGTATGCAATGAGATCCATTTTCCCTAATGAACTACCAATAGATCAGTAACCGTCAAGCATTCTGAAATCTATTGTGACATGACACACACAAACTCACACCCCTGATCTATTTCTTAGCAATCTTTCTCGATCCTCTCCAACCCTAAAGCAGTGACACAGTACATCACAATCAACCTAAAAAAACAGATAAGGCAGACTGTGTAAAATAAACATAAAAAGAATAGATATTAAAACAAAACTGGGGTCAAACAGAGAAAAGCCATATTTAAAAGGCTTGGGCAAATAAACATTTACCTAAAGCAAAAAGAGCATTAAAGAAGCACAATGTTCTGCTTCCCAAAAGGACTTATTGTGGAAGTCCTTGGCAGTTTTGTAAATCCACAGAAGAAAGACCTCAAAAAGCACACCAACAATTAAATTGCTGCTTGTATCTCTTCTAGACATCTAATATCATTCAGGGTACTAGTGGCCAAGACATCAGGCTAGAAGCCAGGAAGTTGTGAGTTCTAGTTCTGCCTTAGCACAAAGCCAGCTGCCTTGAAGGTGGGCGCTCGCATCCACCCACCCCAAACTCACATCTATGTATGTGTGGTTCGTTGATATTTTCCCGGAAGCAATTTCCTTTAAAAGCATGGCATCACATTCAAAATTCATGCCTTGCCTAACAAAAACAACCCCCGAAGCATGTCGTCGGATTCCAAGGGCAAATCACCAAAGGGTCATTAAAGGGCAACCCCGCCTCTGTCAAATGGATGCAGCCCCGTCTCGGTGGTGCGAGGAAGGCGGGGGGGGGGGAAAGCAATCGTTTTAATTCTCTGCAATGTCTTTGCTAAGCTGGGAAACGTTAGGACTCTCTCTTGACACCCCCCCCCCTTGTCCGGGGCTCTGAGTTCCGGCTCCGAGTCCTACCTATGGTGTCTCCCTACCCCGCCGGGTAACCTCGAGGGAGGCCGCCCGCTTGAGAGGATGGCTGAGCGGCAGCCCCGGCTGGGCGGACGGCGAGGGAACTGAGCGAGCGGGGGCGGTCCCTTCCTGTCAAAACTTTTCTCGCGCCGGTCCCCTCGGATTGCGCTGGGCTGCTGCTCCAGCGAGGCGCTGCACCTGCTGCGTAAGAAGGCGCCAAGCGCGCCCAGACTCCTCCGGACCGCGAGAAGAAGGGAGCGGCCAGGAGCGGGAAGAAGTGGCTGGGCTCGCCGGAGGCGATGGAAGAGAAAGAGGGGAGCCCTGAAGCCAAAGCGGCTGCTGCTTCGCCTCGCAGGTTGCCGCTTCCCACCGAGGCCGCACCCAGAGGCCGCACCCAGAGCGACCTCTCCGCTTTCCGGACCTTTAGGAAAAGCCCCCTGCTCCGAGCGCCGCTCTCAGGGTCAGGTAGGGCTGAGGCTGGGAGTGGGTTGGTGGGTTTCACCGGAGAATGCTCTTTTTTTGTTTTTGTTTTGCGGGGGATCAGAGGTGGGCTGCGGAACTCCTGGCCGTCGCGAGAGGGCAGCAAAGAGTTTTTTAGGCGTTCCGGATTTTGCAGCTCCCACCTGCTAACTCTTAACTTTCACTTAACTTTCACAGTTGTAGGTGCTTCATGGGGGGGGGGGAGTTAACAAGAGACTGGAGAGCCACCTGTCTGAAATGGTATAGGTATAGAGTCTCCTGCTTGTGCAGGGGGTTGGACTAGAAGACCTCCAAGGTCCCTTCCAGCTCTATTCTGATTGATTGATTGATTGGGTTTCTTGGCTTTTCCTTGCTACTTGGCATGCAGAAATTCAATGGGTACCCTGCAGTTATGTATGAAAAAATGGCATCTGCTGAATGGGTTTGTTGTTCACTGATTTTAGTCTCCAGATTAATCCTTTTACTAGCCATGGGACAGAGTCTATCCAGCAGTTTGGCTCTAAGTTCTGTTGGTTGTATTATTCCTTTCTCTTTTAAGAGAAAATGTATAACACTCGTTGAATAAATGTGTAGCGGAAGATTATAGATGGCTTTTCCCCCCCTCATTTATTTAGTGGCTGCTGTAGGATCTTTGCAGGTGCCTTAAAGCTTTTTTACATGAAACGGAGACACTATTTATTATTATTAAATTATTATTAAATATTTTGTTCCATTTATTAAGGTTGCATTCAAGAAGCAATATTTTATGTGATGTGCAGTGACAGGAAAGAGCTCTACTTGTTGAACCATTTGTAAGTTGTACAGCTGTTGAACTTAGTGGTTAACAGGTTAGATTAAAAATAGCAAAACTAATTGGTAGACTCAGGATTCCCTAAATACAAATTAATATCTTAAATCAACTAAATGCACTCTGTTAAGAACTGGAACATGTCTAGCAAATCAGATAGCAAACTGATGTAATTATATGGATGAGTGTGAAGTGAAGAACAACATAGTTACTGGTCAAACTTGAATGGATAACAAAGATGTGATTTTTTTTGATTTTTTTTTTTTTACGTTTGCTTTGGTTTAAATCTTGGGCATCTGCTAAATTAATGGATTCTGTAATAGGCCATGGGCATGACAACTGTTAAAAAAATCTGACATGCCCACATTCTATTTAATTGTTTTAATAATACTGACCTATTTATAGTGGTGCGGAAGAGACCTTTTAAATTTAAATATAATATTTTGAATCCTTAGGAGAGGTAGAATGATTATTGCTTTACGTAATATTGTTAACATGCTGAGAAAACTTAAGAACAAATTTCAAACTTTTCTATTGTGAACAATAGTTTAACTTTGATGGGAATGATAGAGGAAAAGAGGTGGGCCCAAGACCTACTTCAAATAGGACTGGACTATTGGACATTCTTTATTTATACAACCTGAACGCGCAGTGTCTGTTTCCAGAAACATGGCTAGAGATATGTGGCTATATCCTACTTCTGTATCTGTCTATATTTTCTTTGGGGGGGGGGCACAAGGAGTGAACTGGAGCAATTTTAAAAAGACCAAAATCTTTGTACAAGGTTATTATTTGCTTCCATTTGTCCTTCTTAGCTTTTAAAAACAATCACTACAATACACATTAAATAAATAATAATAATAATTCTCCACATGCCTCCCACATATGAAGGCTGGGTGCAAAACTGGAGATAACTGCTAGATGGAAGACACACCTTAGTTTTTTTATTGTCTCTTGCTAGTATCTAATGACCAGCTAATAGCCCTATTACACACAGGAGAGATAAAATTTGAGGTTTGTTCATTTATTTTCATTATAGGATAGTACCTTTATTTGTTACTGAAGCCAATATAATGCCACTACCCCCAACAACAGCAACCCTCTAAGATAGGTAGGATTAAGACAGAGATAACAGGCCCAGTATCATCCTGACAACTTCTAAGGGCTGAGCTTCCTGTAAAATTGTGTAGTTTTGTTTTGTGTAATTGTGCAAAGTTGGATAAAATTACAACTTTGCAATTATATCTCTTCCTAACTGATTTTGTTAAACATCTGCATACAGACCCATGCTTTGGAGAAAGACTGCTGGCTGAATAGGATTGGAGAAGCACTTTCACACAATTTTGTTAGTCCTTTTTTTCTGTTTTTAAAGCATCCTATTCTGTTTTGGTTTCAATTCAGATTGCAGCAGTACTTAAGAAAGAGCCCTTACTTACTGCCCCCAGAAAGGTTACCTCGTGAATTTTCCGAAGCTTGTGTTTGTGTCATGGGTTTTTCTTGCATTTCTGAACTCTGATATTCTCAGAAGGAAAGTTACTTTTTATAGACATTAATGGGAGACTTCCTTTCCTCTTTATTTATATCTGAAACAAAAAGATGAAAGGGGGGGTTAAAATAAGTAATTGGGAGCATGTATGTGTCATAAGCCTTAATTGCTTTGCTCCAGTGAGTTCAGCAGTGCAGGAAAAAGTTTAGGAAAGAAAAAAGGAGAGCTGATACAGATTGACATTGCCTTGGACCGGAAAAGGGAGTAGATCAAGTGGATAAGGATAGTCTGATAAATGCAATCATACACCAATTTTGAAAAAAAAGATACTTTAAAACTAGTATATTGTATACAGTAACAATAAAAATAATGCAGATAAGAAACAATTTTTAATAAGAGGAAATTTCTACTTAGTAAGTCATGTTTTTAAAGAGGAAATTAAGGTAAGAAATAGTATTGGGAAATCATAAAAGATAAGTTTTAACAAGGTCTCTTTAAATCACATGAAAAATCACAGCTAATTTGGATAAAAGAGTGGAGGATTTATTTCTCATACATTGTTTTCCTCCATTTAATTCAATTTAGACCAGTAGTTCTCAACTTTTTTAATGCCGCGACCCCCAACCGGTTGTAAGTCGAGGACTAAACCGGTCGTAAGTCAAGGACTAAACCGGTCGTAAGTCGAGGACTACCCAACCGGTTGTAAGTCGAGGACTTTCCCTGCCCGGGAGCGCCATGCATGCGTGGTGCCACCCCCTGTGCCAGTTGAGGCATAGCTGGCAAGCGGCAGAGACGGAGCAGGCCGACCACCGTCTGGGCCGCAGGCTGGCCCAGCCCAAGGGAGGTAAGGCACAGCCTTGCTTGGCGACCTCCGTGAAATGGTCGATTGACCCCAAATGGGGTCACGACCCATAGGTTGAGAACCGTTGATTTAGACACTGCCCAACTCCAAACTGATTTGGGTTTGTGCAATACATAAACCACAATGTGGTATATTTGATTTTTGCTTAGTGTGATTTGTGCAAACCCCACACATTACAGTTGAATCAATATTTCAAACAGTTCACACTGTTAAACCATGTTCAATGAAGCATGGTTAAAGGTCTGGTTTATAATTATGTGTGAATGCAGCTACTAAAGCTTTTAGTAAATAACCAATTCCAATTCAGTAATGTCTACCTCTTTTATATGGGTTAGAATTGTGAGATTAAAGTAGAAATAAAGCACTACTTGAGAGCAGCACCACAATTATAGTTCACTTTCAACTGAAAACATTTGCGTTGTATATATAGTCTAGGAAGCTCCCCCTTCCCAGAATAAAATATTCTGCAGAATATTAAAAGAGGCAGAATAGAATGTTTCCCCTAAAGGAGAAGAAGAGAGAAAAATCTCCTTAACAAAGGCGGAAAGCAGCCCCAGTCCTTCTGCTGTAGGAAAACAGCCTCAAGCAGAAGCCTGAAGAGCCTAGACCAGGGGTAGGCAACCTTGGCTCTTTTATGACTTGTGGACTTCAACTCCCAGAATTCCTGGGAGTTGAAGTCCACAATCTTATTTTAGACTATAGGGATGGATATTTTGTATCCATTCAGAAAGCTGGGCCACTCTATTCATAAACAAAGGGCAGCCAAAAGCTCCAAATAAGCAGCGCACTAGGCAAGGAGCCGAAACTGACAAGATTAGGCAAACAAAACAGCTGTCACTGTTGTTTCTGGCTACCAAATAAACAGAGACCTCCTTCCCTACTGCAGCCTGCCTTCAGTTCATTTCTCCTGCATCTTTCTCCCAGCTTAGAATAAGAACCGGACCAGATTTTACTTCCAACAATAGTTTATTTATTAAATTTTTATACTGCATTATTCAGTTATAATGACGATATATATTTCCATCTCTCCAAAAAATAGGCATGCTGTATTCTAATAATAATAAGCCAATATTTTATGGTACAATATTTATTAGACTTTTTTACCTGGAACTGCTGTGCAAGAGAAATGTGACCTTCCTTCCACAATGACATCATATTATTGGGGGAATCTATTGACTGTAATCTTCACTAGTACGCGTAGAACTAAGAAACACATCAATTGCTGCAAGAAACTGTTAATGGTAAAATTCTAGTTAGAGATACAATATGCTTTAAAAGCTATTCTGGCAATGATTCACAGACTCCATCTGTCTATCATTCTGTATAATCTATGCATCTCTAAACAGATAATTGTTATTTCCCGCATAGAAAACAATATCCTGCCATCTGTCTATAAAGTTCTGCTAGGATGTAGACTTCATTAAGTAGACTAGCCAATTAAATGATTGGCTTTATATTGATATTGTCTAGATGGTTTTCTGTACAAAATGACAATGATAATCCTATTTGTGCTGTTCTAGGTATAGATTCCATTATGTAGAGGAAATAAATATACAGGAATGGGATGATATGACTGGAAATCAAGATCTGATAGTCCTATTGACAAACCCAAAACTGAAAAATTCAGGATAGAAACAAGAACTCAAGGAAAACATTCCATCAAGTTGTTACGCCATTTATTTGGGTACTTATCCAATCTATACTATACTTAAAAATAGATCAGAAGTCCACATGTAAATCCATATTTGGATTGAATTTGATTCTGGTATGTAGAATAATTTATAATATAGAAATAGAAAGCTATGAAGATTTTACTTTTACCCCAAATATTAATCTTTTCTATAACTCAA